CCTCATCATCCTTTTCCCCGTGTTCCCCAATTATTTTGTTGTTTTTTTTTTTTTTTTTTTGCTGGGTGATACTGGAGTTAAAGATTTCTAGTTGGGACCAGAATCCAGCTCAGCCCTGTCCAAGATGGGTCATGCAGGGCAAATGACTTCCCTTCTCTGGGCCTCAGTTTCCTACTCTGTTAAATGAGGCTGACCCTGTTACCCATCTCAGATGATGAGTTAATACATGAAGAGAAAAGAGTGTAGAACTGAGACAGGGTCAGAGCTGTACACCCAAGATCCACCACTTTGGGTCACTACACAGCCTAGGAAGTGCAGGAAGTGGGCAATAAAGGGGGCTGCAGTGATCACTCCAAATGATATGGAACCATCTCCCAGGTCTGAGGAGTTGAGCGTGCCCAAGGACAGGTGTGCGACCCTCCGCACAGAGGCTGGGGTGGACACCTGGCGGTGGGGCCCTGCATAGGTGAATGGTTCATGCAGCCAGGTTCCAGTTTGGGAGTGGGGTATGGGCCTAACTTCAGCTCTCTGTGTCTTTTAAACCCTCCTTGGAGACATTTCAGGATTAAAACCTCCTGGAAATTGATAATTAGGATGTGTATACTGAGCCAATTAAAAATCCCAACAGTGCAGGCTCAATGGTAGAGTGCTTGCCTAGAATCCCCCAGTGAGGGGCTGGCGATGTGGCTTAGGATAAATTCCCTGTCTACAATTCCCGAGTGAGGGGTTGGGGGCAAGGGTCAAGGATAGAACTCCTGCTTAGAATTCTCCAGTGGGGGACTGGGGACATGGCTCAGGAGTGGAGCCCCTGTCTAGAACTCCCCAGTGAGGGACTGGGACATGGCTCAGTGGTAGAGCTCCTGCCTAGAATTCCCCAGTGACATGACTCAATATTGGAGGGCTGCTCTCCCAGTGTGAAGCACTACAAGTTTTAAAAGTTGGTGTAATTCCCTTTATCTCAAGAGCACATAAAGGACTAATCTGGCCTTGCCTAGAGCTACGTAAAACTCTGGAGAAAAGTAGAATCAATAGTTCATTTTTTTTCTTTCTTCTTAGAGTGCTAGGATGGAGCTTAGGGCCTCATGCTTGCTAGGCAAGCACTTGTATGGCTGAGACTTCCTAGACTGTGTAGTGACCCTAAGTGGTAGATCTTGGGTGTGCAGCTCTTATCCTGTCTCAGTTCTACACTCTTTTCTCTTTGATCCCTTCCTTAGAGAGAATCAGAGTTCTGGAGTCCCTGTGTCTGGTCCTAACCTATCCACCACCAGGCCAATCCAGCAGGACCTGGGCCGTCAAGACCCACCATTGGCGGAGGACATTGACAACATGAAGAACAACAAGCTGGCCACTGGGGAATCGGTCAGTCCCCATGACAGCCTTAGTCACAGTGGCCTGCCCCAGAGCCCATCCAAGATTGGCAACAGCGCCAACCTAGGCCCTGTGCCTGGCCCTCCCACCTCAGCCACCAACCCTCAGAATGCTGCCAGCCGCAGGACACCCAACAACCCGGGGAACCCATCCAACCCCGGTCTCCCAAAGACCCCTGAGAACAGCCTTATCGTCACCAACCCCAGCAGCACCCAGCCCAACTCAGCAAAGACTGCCAGGAAACTTGAACACACGGTGGTGGACATCCCCCAAGCCTGTCCACCCCTCAACCACACTGTTGTCCAAGGTGAGGCACCACAGGGCCACGGCCTTACTTTCTCCCCTTGAAAATGGTACTAACACAGCTCCCACACCCAGAGTATGGGGACAAAATGAGCCAGTACACTAGGTGGTACATAAGTACTTACAAAGCATCAGCATCCTGCCTTCTCTCCTCAGAGTCAGCAAGCCACTAATCTCAAGGATGGACTCCCCACCTAGAACTGGGGTCATGGCATAGCTTGCAGGGTTAGGTAGGACCAATCCTGTCCAAAAAGTACATAGCACCATTAGACATGCCATAAATGGAGGAAACAGGACTGGGGATGTGGCTTAGTTGGTGGACAGCTTGTCTAGCATGCATGAAGCCCTCGGTTCCATCCCCAGCATCAAAAAGGCCTGTAGTAGTGGCACACACTTGTAATCTTAGCACTTGAGAGTTCAAGGCCACCCTTGGCTACATAGTTAATTTTAGGTCAGCCTGGTTACATATGGAGGCCTCATCTCTGTTAATAACAGTAATAATAATATCCTTATTTGGCCCAAATGTTATTTATTTGTATCCAAAATGTTATCATTTTAACATACTTTTTTAAATTTTAGATTTTATTATTTTTTGGTTTTTGTTTTGTTTGGTTTTGATTTTGTTTTTTTGGGATTTTTTGTTTTGAGACAGGGTCTCTTTGTAGCCCCAGCTGACCTGAAAGTTGCTATGTAGACCAGGCTGGTCTCAATCTTACAAAGCTCTGCCTACCTTTGCTTCTCAAGTGCTGGGATTAAAGGCATGTGCTGCTACACCCACCTAAATTTTATTATTTTTTAATTATGTGTCTGTGTGTGCCTGTGTGTATATGCACGTATTTAGGTACCTGCAGAGGCCAGAGGCATCAGACCCCTGGAGCTGGAGTTATAGCCAATTGTGAGCCAGCAGATAATGGTGCTGGGAACTGAACTCACGTCCTCTGGAAGAGCAGCACACACTCTTAACCAGAGCTCTCTCTCCAGCCCCTAATTCAAAATGTTTACAAGTAATATCAAGGTGTTCTATGTTCTTTTTCTCTGTCTTAGTCTCAGGTCAGTCCCACAGGCTGGCATGTCCCATTTGGAATAGCCACGTCTCCCACATCACCCGGGCTGTGGCAGGGGTAGGCTCTCAGGAACTGGGCTCAGAGAAGCCATCAGGTGGACACATGCCCACTGAGAAGACTCATGTTATGGAGTTGTTTTGGTTAAGAATGGTTGTTTCTGGGACAGGGCCTCAAACTAATGGTGATCCTTCTACCTCAACTTCCCCAGTGTTGGGATTACAGCAGGTAATTACAGTCAGGTAACACCAAGCCTGACTATACCATGGTTTTAAGGCTTGGACCTTGACATTGCAGTCATTTTACACACAAGGAAGCTGAGGCTCAGAGAGACTCAGCCTGCGTGAAAACAGCCACCCAGGGCTGGAGAGCCTGCTGGGAAGGCAAAGGGCAGAGGTGCTCTCCCAGGAGGGACAGGGTGCTCTCCCAGGAGAGCCTGCCCAGAGGGCTGAGGTATTCACCCAAGTGGGTGAAGCAGGGTGTTTGCTCTTTGTAGGTCCTAGTGACATCACAAAGGTCAAAGGAACAGGACCTGGTCCACAGCTGGCACCTGTAGCATGTTTGGGAGCTGGCATTCTGGCCAAGTTCAAACCCCAGCTCTGCCAGTTCCCAGCCATGTAGACAAGCCACTTCACTCCTCTGTGCTTGAATTTCTGTATCTGTCAAATGAGGCTTCTGGGTACCAACCTCATAGGGTCAGGTGATGCCTGGCACACAGGAAGCACTTTCTTTTTTTAATTATTTTGTTTTATGTGTATGAGTATATTACTTGCATGTATGTAAGTGCACCTGTGTTGGCAATGCCCGAGGAGGTCAGTAGAGGGCGTCAGACCCCTGGAACTAGTGTTACGGACCGTTGTTAGCTGCCATATGGGTGGTGGAAATCAAACCTTGGTCCTCTGCAAGAGCAGCCAGTGCTTTTAACTGCAGAGCCATCTCTCCAGCCCCAGGAAGTACTTTCTTAAGTGCCCTGTGCTTAGGGATTACTCCAGGTCTGCCCAGGAGCTCAGAGACTTGTTGGAAACCATGGAGGAAGCCCTGTGTTGGTTCTTGTCCCAACAGTGAACAAAAATGCCAACCCAGACCCACTGCCAAAGAAAGAGGAAGAGAAGAAGGAGGAGGAGGCAGACACTGGGGAGGACGGCCCCAAGCCTATGCCACCCTACAGTTCCATGTTCATCCTCTCCACTACCAACCCGTGAGTATGGCCACAAGGTCAGGGCCAGGTTCCACTGTCTGTGTGCAGTTAGTGCAACACAGGGCCCTTTAGCACCAGCCTGAGTCCCCGGAAACCCTCTGAGCTGTGAAATAACCTCCTTGCTTAACTCACAGAAGAGGAAGATTTGGGCAGGGTGTGGTGGTACACACCTTTAAATCCCAGCACTTGGGAGGCAGAGGCAGCCAGATCTCTGTGAGATCAAGGCTAGCTTGGTCTGTGTAGAACATGCTAGGACAGCTGGGACTACAGAAAGACTTTGTCTCCCAAAATACAGAAAAAAAGAAAGGAAGGAAAGAAGATAAATAGTTCAGGGGGACCCTCTATGTGGATTCCAGGGATCTCACAGAGATCCACCTGCCTCTGCCTCCCAAGGGCTGGGATTAAAGGCGCAGGCCACCACACCCGGCTCTTTGTTTATTTTTGAGACAAGTTCTCACTCTGTAACCAAGCTAATCTTGAACTCATTACATAGCCCAGGTTAGTCTTGAACTCTGAGCGATTTCTCTACCTCAGCCTTCCAAATGCTGGGATTACTGATGTGCCACCTTACTTGGCTGCAATTTTTTTTCAACCATAGACTATTTTACACATAGAAAACCTGAACCTCAAGATGGTTCAGCAGGTAAAGGGACCTGCTGCCAAGTCTTAACAACCTGAATTCAATCCCCAGAACCCACAGGGTGGAAGGACAGAACTGAGTCCTCCAAGTTGTTCTCTGACCTCTACAGGCGTAGCACACCTTGGTACAAGTGTGCCCTCTGCCCCCAACAACTAAATAAATAAATGTAATTTTAAAATAAAGAAGGAAAAAACAAAACCTTCATGTCCTACCAAATCATGGGTAATATTGCTTCCACCAGTTTGGGAATCCAGAAATTGTTTGGAGGGCAGGAGCATAATCCATAGGCCATGTGACCATCTGTCCTGAAGTCTTCTGGCCTTCTTGGGCTGTGGGACCCAGTGAGGGCACTTGGAGGGACCTTGACAGCTGGATAGGGTAGGCCATGGAGTTTTAACTAAGGGGACAGAAGGGCCATTGAGCCTGTGGTTTCAATGGCCCTGCTTCCTCTACAGCCTGCGCCGGCTGTGCCATTACATCCTAAACCTGCGCTACTTTGAGATGTGCATCCTCATGGTCATCGCCATGAGCAGCATCGCACTGGCCGCCGAGGACCCTGTGCAGCCCAATGCACCCCGCAACAACGTGAGTTCCCGCTGCCCCCATGGGGATTACATGAGCCACCACAGTAGCTCAGTAAGCATTTCTTGAACACCTACCATATACCTGACCCTGTGCCATGAGCTGGAGATGCCACAGTAGGGCCAGTGGAAATAGACAGGTTATTAGTACCTATAGCAAACATTTGTCAGGATGTGACAAGTGCAGGGAGAGGAGTGAAAACTAGAAATATCCCAAGTTATAGGACGTGCACTGGTTTGGGGTTTTGCTTTGGGTTTTGAGTTTTGGTGGTTCTGGGTATGGAACCCAGACTTTACACATGCTAAGCTAGCATCTGCAACCTAACCATACTCCCAGCCCCTCACTGGGAGATTTTAGGTAGGAGCTCTACCACTTAGTCATGTTCCTAGCCCCTCACTGGGGGATTCTAGGCAGAAGGTCTATCACTGACCCATTCTCCTAGCTCATCACTGGGGGGATTCCAGACAGGTGCTCTACCACTGAGCCACACCATCAGCCTTTCGTTGATAGATTTGAGGCAGGTACTCTACTGTGAGCCATGTCCCCCCAATCCCCAAGTAACATTTGAACAGGTAACCAGGGAAGGCCTCACTGGGAAATGATATTTGAGCCATGCCATAAATGAAGAGAGAGGGGAATTTAGATGGAATGTAGGGAAGAATGTTCTAGGTAGAAGGAACAGCCTGTGCAACTCCCTGAAGTGGGAATGGGCCAACTGACTGGAGCAAAGAGGGGAGTGGGTGCCCCTGAGGTGGGGAAGTGACTAGGAAGATGCCTCAGGACCTTTGGTCCAAAGGGTCTTGTTTACCTTGAGGGAGGCAGGAGCTGACCACCCTTTGCTGACCTTGTTCAGCAATTACCATCCCTTTTACATGGACTCAGCCCCACAGATACACACACATATATAGGTGTTTGGGTCACCCTAGAGAGGGGCAGGGACAAGGATGTTGTTAATCCAGTCAGAAAAAAACTATAGAGTCCAGCTCTAGGCAAGACAGTGGGGTGAGGAAGGGGAGAAAAGACCAGCTGGGCAGGGCAGTGCCCTGGGAATGAAAGAGAGCAAGCCGCCAGGCATCCCCAGAGTTCAGAAAATGCCTCCTGGAAACTGTCTCAACAAAGAGGACCAGCAGGGTTTTGGGCATGGGCGGCTCAGCCTCATCACCCCAAGGGATAGGCACCCCCAAGGTTGTATGGAGTCCCCCAAGGCCCACTAGTCCACATGGGGCTTGCTTGAGGTAACTGCAGAGGGCACCTTGGTGACCAGACCCTGTAGTCCCTGGGGCTCACTGCCATCTGCTGGGCATTCTCTTTCTCTTCAAGACCTACAAATCTACTTAACAGGGGGCTGGGAAAGGCCCTTGTGCAGTACACTAGGTGGCAGTTCTGATTCCTGGGGACTGTTGGGGCAGGGGTGAGGAGCCCACATATCCCAGTGGGCCATTGCTAGACTTGGCACAGGAGTCTGCTGTGGAGCAAGCCTGTGATTGGCTGCTCCCCTATTTGTCCCTGCAGGTGCTACGATATTTTGACTATGTCTTTACAGGCGTGTTTACGTTTGAGATGGTCATCAAGGTAAGAACAACAGAATCAGGGCTTCCAAGGACCTGGGCCATCCAGCACCTTCCCAGAGAAAAGTAGCTCAATCCAAGAGTCAGACGTGCTGGGTGTTTGAGGGGCAGTCATAAGGCAGACGTAGTGGAGAAAGGGAGGGAGGAAGGCTAAAGTGAGGATAGATCAGGCCTTGAAGGCAGCTGGGGGTACTTGGCTGTTCATCCCAAAGGAAGGAGGAGCCATGGAGGTGTCTAGGCAGAGCTGGGCGTTCACAGGCACCTGTGACAGCTGTCCAGTGACAGGCACGGGGAAGGGCAAGGACCAGTGGACAGTAATAACAGCAGGAGCTGCATGGTCACTAGGGAGGGTGGGAAGGGACAGATTGTTGGGAGGCTCTAAACACAGAGCTCCTAATGCTGCTGCATGGTTTCCTGTGGGGCTCAGGCAGGAGGCAGCCTGAGATTTGGGCTTACAAATCAGCAGATCAGGGCTGCCTTTCCTCAGAAGGACTGCCTGTCATTTTCATCCCCCAGGTGGTCCTTCTGAGGACCACCAGTCATCTTCCCCTCCAGGTGGGTGTCATCCCAGTGCTTTGAGCAGGCTGTCCTCTCTCCCCAGATGATCGACCTGGGGCTTGTCCTGCATCAGGGAGCCTACTTCCGTGACCTGTGGAACATTCTGGACTTCATAGTGGTCAGTGGGGCGTTGGTGGCCTTTGCTTTCACGTAAGTCTTCACACGAGCCCCCCCCTCAACTCCAGTCTGAGCCCACTGTCAGATGCAGGTTTTATTCTGGTGTGCAGAGATGGGAGTGAGGGCTGTGAGGTAGTGGGCGCATACCCCAGCACAGCGCAGTTGGCTTGTGCATGCTGTCACTGTGGAGGAAGGAGGGACCCAGACCCACCTCCACTTCTCCCACAGCAAGACCTCTTGCTGTGATGCTTCCTGTAGGCTAGCTCGTGGGACATCTCATCTCCCTCTCCACAAGCCTGACACATGCTTTCTCTTTGGGGTGATCCCAAAAAGACAAGCAGGAACTGAGTGTGCATGAGAACCCTACCCCACCTGTGGCCCAAGGTCCCTCACTTAATCCGCCTTCTATATCCCTCTCTCCTCCAGGGGCTCCTAGGACACTCTTCCCTCAGTAAGGTCATATACCATGGTGCCATTTTGCAATGACAGCCCAGCTGTAGGTGGAAGTTTGTAAGATAGCTTCATGGGGCTTAGAAGCCATGATAAAATGGCACCCATTCCAAGAAGGTACTCAGAAGTGGGGCAGTCATTCCAGGGAGGCCCCTGAATTCTTGCCATCCACCCCAAGATGACATCCTAGGCTTAGCAGCCATTCCAAGATGGTGCCTGTGTTCCGGATGGTCATTCTAAAATGACACCTAAGGTCTACGCAGCCAAAATGGTGTCCCAAGTTCTTGAAAACCATTTCATGATGGTGCTCAAGAGGCAAGAATCATTCCAAGATGGCTGCTGAGTTCTGGAACCCAAGTTCCAGTGACCACGCCATCAGGTTTAATCCAAATGATGCTTTACAGCCAGGCATTGTGGCACATGCCTTTAATCCAAGCACTCAGGAGGCAGAGGCAGGTGGATCTCTGTGAGTTTGAGGCCAGCTTGGTCTACATAGTGAGTTCCGGTCAGCTGGGACTACAGAGAGACCCTCAAAAAGACCAAAAATAAATGAATAAATAAATAAATAAATAAATAGGCACTTTACTAGATGGTCATTCCAAGCTGGCACCTGAATCTTGCCTTCCATTCCAAGATGACATTGTAAGGCTCAGTAGCCATTCCAAAATACTATTTGGGTCTGGATGGCATTCCGGAATGGCACCTGAGGTCTGGGCATTCATTTCAAGGTGGTGCCCAAGATCTGCATGGCCGTTCTCAAAGGCCTGAGTTCTGGCATCCAGGTTTCTCTGCAGCCATTTCAAGATGGTGACCATTTTTGGCTCAGTCCAAGATGGCACCCAATTTTGAACCTAGTCTGAGATGGAGCCCAGTTTTGTGACCAGTCCAAGATGGTACCCAAGGTCTCTAACAGCACATACAGTAGTGTGATCCTCTCGTGCCAGACATCTGAATCAGAAAGAGATCTAACATGCTCCTAGTCCAGAATCCATCTTGGGTACCAAGGCTGTGCCCATTACAGGGATCATTCCCAGAAAGGAAGGTCTTACAGGGACTCTGACCCACCTCACTCAGAACAGAAACCTGGGAGTTTCTCTGGGCTTACTGTGTCACTGGCTGCCTCAGCAGGTGCAGCTCCTCCATTGGCTCCCTTACCTGACAGCTGAGCATGTGCTTTGTCACACAAGGCGAGGGTGTTCGCCTATTTTCAGTTTAAGGGCTATAACAGACCCTGTCAGATTCTCCCCTGAAGACACAGCAAGCTCAAGTTGTAGCACGTGAATTCCTGGCATTTCTACACACCAGAGTCCAGACCGGTGAAGGAGATGGAGGCAGAGGCAAGGAAGGGGCTGAATTTCTGAGCTGGCCAAACTCCACAGTCCTCTTTCTCATTCTCCCACTCTTCTGTCTCTCTTCCATTCACACTGTATTCTCTCTCTCTCTCTCTCTCTCTCTCTCTCTCTCTCTCTCTCTTTCTCTCTCTCTCTCTCTTTCTCGGAGGGGTTACCCTGGGCCCTGAGCTAAGGGCCTTTGCACATGCTAGGCAAGTGCTCTACCACTGAACCACACCTCTAGCCCTAGAGGCAAATTTTTTAATGTTCTCATGAATTTTGTACAGGCACAATTGCTACCCTCTGCTCCTAGAATTCCATTTTAACAAGAGAAGGTCAGGACAGGGCCATCCCAGGTGCTTTTGCATGCTGGCAGCTCTCACGGGACCCAGCATCACCATACATGCCGAGGACTCTTTCGATGTTTTAGAACAGCTTAGAGCTGTGGGCTTTACAGAGGGATGGGTGGAGAGCCCTATTGCTCCCCTGCCTTATTGATCCAGAGCAAGCCTAGTCCTGCCACTTCTCATCAGAGGATGGGCTACAGCTCAGCACAGCTGGTCAGTACCTTGATCAAGCTACTATTTCATACCCAGCAGCCAAACTGCCCCAACACAGCGAAGGAGATGAAAACTGCTAGGCTCAGTTCCCAAAAAGAAGCTTCCGAATGCTCTTCACCCCAGCTGCAGGCTTCTGATCCTCTGTGCCTGTGAAGTTGTTTAGTCCTGTGAGGTCTTTGCTTGTCTCCTTGTCGGCATCATAGTGAAGAGTGTCAGCCTGTTGTTTCCCTCCTGGTCCTTCTCTTGTCTATCTCCTGGCCCATCCACTAATAGACAAGATGGAGAACCCCCATAGGAAAGAGAGGTCCCTCCAGCTGGGCGTGGCAGCAAGTGCCTATAATCCCAGCCCTCTCACCTAAGGCAGGCCAGCCAGGGCTACAAAACACAGATGTCTCAGAAAAAGGAAGGAAGGAAAGAAAAGCTCCACAAGACTTCCTGGCTTCTCTCTAGATGGGCAAGCTCTACAACCTCACTGTGCCTCTATTTCCCCGTGTAGCAGCATGATGGTGCTAATTAGACTCGTGGCTGTCACCCTTGCCACAGTTGCAGCAGAGTGGTGATCCTAATTCCCCATTCCACAGATGGGAAACTGAGGCAGGGAACAGTATGCAGAGAATGAATCCAGACCAGCAGCCTTGCCCACTGGGTTCTTCTGAGCTAAATGGTCTGGGAGGCCATTGAGAGGGAGGGGAGGAGAGGTTGCTCCCTTCTTGGTAAGGAGGGGTTTCCTGTGTAGCCTTTGGAGGTCGAGGCAGGGACTCTGTAATTGCCCCCACCTTTAAGGCAAGACCCTGCCCCTGTGCTCCCCAAGGGATATCGAAGCTCCTCTGAATGCCCCCACTTTCCTCCCTTCACCCAGATCTCTCTATGTGTGTATGTGTGTGTGATTCTGTGTGTGCCTTGCGACCCAACCCACACCATCCACTAACCATACACCATCATTAACTTGCGTGCACCATCATTAACAAGCCATCTCATAAATTGTCACCATGAGGGGCATCACGCTCAGTGCCCATGCTTTTGGGGCAGCCAGATGACTTGTCACGGCAGCTGGCAGATCATGAGCCCATCCTCACTGCCAAGAGTCCCATCTGCCCCCAGGGCAGGGCTGCAACCCCCACATGATTGGCAGAGCATACCTTGATCAACCTTTGAAGCCACATTCCTAGGTAGTCAAAGAAGGGGCCCTCCAGCAGCACCTTCAAAATAGCCCTGTCCCAGAGAAAAAGATTCAAATTTAAGGTGCATGCATGTGGGTTTGAACCTGTCTGCCACTTTCTGGCTGTATGCCCTGGAGAAGTCACTCTCCTTCTCTGGGCTTCAGCTTCCTCATCTGGGAAATGGACACAATGGTGCCATCTTCCTGCAGGTGAATGCAGTGATAGTCACAAGACTCAGAAGATTAGGGAATCAGATGGAACTCAGTGACAGAGTACCATCCTAGCATCTGTAAACTCTCTCCCAGCCCCAGAGTGGAAAGGGAAAGATGAGGCCATCTACCAGTAGAATCTGGGGTCAAGACATGTACCAGTCCGTACACGCTCAGATCTAAGAGCCCTGAACTGGACCTCAGAAAAAAGGAGTGGAGCACAGTGGAGAGAGACATTAAACCATTCAGGGTTAGAAAATAAAATGGCCAGGCATAGTGTGATGCCTAGAATCCCAGTCCCTGGGGGGGCTCAGGCAGGATCACAGTGTCTAGGTCTGCCAGGGAAACCTAGCAAGATCCTATCTCAAAACAGTAGAGAAGGCTGGAGGGCTAGCTCCTCCTAGATGTGTGGTACCTAGTTCCCATCACCACAAGTTCTCCCTCCCTCCAAACACCTTGCACCAGCCCCAGTGACTACACAAGAGGCTGAGGTCAGATGTGCAGGCCAGGCTAAGCTAAATTCTGAAACAATGAACTCTCAGGTAAGGGTCTCACCTCCTTGGCAGTAAAGGCAGTGTTCAAACCCTCATCCTTCCTTCCAAAGCTCATCTTGCCCACATGCTGGGCTATGGTATCAGAACTTCTTCAGGAAGTGTCCCACCTACTCTGGGCAGTGACTGAGTTGCCTGTTTGCCCCAGTGATGGGCAGCCGCAGGGATGCCACACTCCTTGGAAATTTGCTTTTGTGGACTGCTGTCAGGGCCAGGTCCTGCCCAGGGCGGGCACTGGAGGAGGGGCTGCCCCTCCTGGCACCCCAGGGTCTGGAGCCCAACGCCCACGTGTGTCTGTGTGTGTCCTGTGTTCTCTCTGAGGCCGCTCACGATCTGTCTCTCCCTCCAATGCCACCTCGCCAGGAGCAGTACACGGTAAAGCCTCTCTCTCTCTCTCTCTCTCTCTCTCTCTCTCTCTCTCTCTCCTGTCCTCTGTGCCCTGGTTGCAGCCATGTTGGTTCTGGCCCCCTTTTTCTGTGGCCTTGTGTTCTTTCTGGTGTCCTGTGGCTTACTGTGACCAGAACCTGCTCCCTAGGGACAGAGGAGTCTCAAGAGCATCACCTGCCACCATGATCCACTAAGATTCAAATTTAAGGTGCACACGTGCAGCAAACAGGGCAAGGGCATCCTTCCCTAAATCTGACAGGACCAGGGACCTGGGGAGGTCCAAAGCAGCCAAGGCCTCCAGATCCCCAGGAGAAAAGCTCGACAAATCCAAACAGCTAGAAAATGGGCTGTGGGGGGAGGAAATGACTGTGACTGAGAAATATCTGCCAGCAGATGGGTCTTTCTAGTTCAGTGTGGTAGTATACAGCCCTGTAACCACACTCAGGGCCTGTGGCAGGAAGATCTTGACTTCCAGGCCAATCTAGACTACACACTGAGATCCTGTCTCAAAAACAAGAAGATACATGTATCAAAAAGTACATGTTGGGTTGGAGAAATGACTCAGCAGTTAAGAGCACTGGCTGGGTTCGCTTCCCAGCACCTACTGGTGGCTAACAACAGTCTATAACTCCATTTTCAGGGGCTTCAACACCCTCTTCTGGCCTCTTGAGTGCTTTGCATGACATACATGCAGACAAAACACTCATACACATAAAAGTAAAAAAAAAAAGTCAGTGTCCTTAATATATACAAAAGCAGTCATAATCAGGCATGGTAACACATACCTTTAAGCCCAGTACTCAGGAAGCAGAAGCAGGCAAGACCCTGTCTTACAAAAGAAACATTAAACTTCTAATGATCGGTGGACAGTAGTACATGCGAACATCAGCCAAGTATGGCTGTGCACACCTGTAGTCCCAGCACTTAGGCTGGGGCAGGAGGATCCAAATTTGGGCCAGCCTGAGCTACATAGTAAGACCCTGTCTCAAACATAAAAAAGAGGAACTAGAGCCAGACATGGTGGCACACACCTTTAGTCCCAGCACTTGGGAGGCAGAGGGCAGGCAGAACTCTCTGAGTTCAGGGCCAGCCTGGTCTGCATAGCAAGTTCCAGGCCAGCTAGGGCTATAGGGAGACCCTGTCCAAAAAAAGCCGGGTGTGGTGGCACACACTTGTAGTCCCAGCACTTGAGAGGCAGAGGCAGGTGAACATCTACGAGCTCAAGGCCAGTCTGGCCTACATAGTGAGTTCCAGGCCAGCTGGGGCTCCAGGAAGACCCTGTCTCAAAAACATCAAAAAAATAAATAAAATTAAATAAAATAAATAAATAAATAAAAGAGCTGGGGAGAGGACTCAGTTGGTAAAGTGCTTCCTGTGCAAGCATAAGGACCCGAATTCAATCTCCAGAACACCCACAAAAAGCCAGGTGTGGTGATATGAATTTGTAATCTCAGTACTGGGAGACGGAGACAGGCAGGACCAACCTAACTTACTTGGTGAGCCCCAGGCCAGTGAGAGACTTTATCTCAGAAAACAAGATGGAATGACCCCTGAGGTTGACCTCTGGCTTCCACATGCACATGCACACCACACACACACACACACACACACACAGATGGAAAAAGGAACAAAAACTTGCAGAGAGGGCTGGACAACACAGCATCTCTCCTCCCCAGCAATCCCAAATTCCAGCTCTGCTCACAATTAGCTGAAAAATGTTTTTCCATCCAGATACCTTGGGTGTTGGGGCAGCTCTGCCCAGGATGAGAAGTAACCACAGGGAGATGTTTGTCCCTGGGACTGTGGCCTTGGTACATTCGTGTGTCCTGAGACCTCATGCCAGGTGTAAACCAGACTGGGACAAGAGCCAAGATTAAAGAGACAATGAACACATAGAAGAATTCATCTCAAGTTGAGCTTCTGAGGGGTTTTCTGTCTAAAAGGCAAAAACTCAGATCTTTCTAGAATACCCCCAGAGGCTGGCAGAGCTCAGAACTGGAGGAGAGGTGGTAGGTGTTTGGGAAAGGCAGGGTGAGTGTGGCTGGTGGGTGAAGCAGTTTTATGCACAGAGAAAGGGCACTTATAATAGCCGTCTGTAAAACCAGATAACTGAGCATCCCCATCTGCTCAGGAGACTGAGGCAGGAGGAGGAGCTCAACTTCAAGTCCAGCCTGGGTTACATAGTAAGACCTTGTCTCAAGGAAATAAAAAATAAACAAAGGACCAGTGCAGGTAAAAGTGCTTACCACCAAGCTTGATGACCTGAACTCAATCTCCAGGACCCACATGGTGAAAGAGAGAACTGATTCTTCAAAGTTTTCTTCTAACATGCATGGCATCACACACACACACACACACACACACACACACACACACACACACACGCACATTTGCACATGGCACACAAGATAAATAAATGTAATTTTAAAACTTTTTGGCCAGGTGCAATGGCACTTACCTTTCACCCCAGCACTCAGAAGGCAGAGTGCTGGTCTCTGTGAATTAGAGGCTAACCTAGTCTATATAGTGAGTTCCAGACCAATTTGGGCTACATAGTAAGATGCTATCTCAAGAAAAAAAGAAAAAAAAAAGTTCAGTGGGTTTTTTTTTGAGACAGTCTCCCTGCAGCCCCAACTGACCTGGAACTTGCTATGTAGACCATGCTGGCCTCGATCTCACAGAGGTCCACCTGCCTCTTCCTTGCAACTGCTAGGGTTAAAGGTGTCTACCACCATGCCTGGCCAAGAAAAGATTTTTTAAATATTATTTTTATTTTATGTGTATGAGTATATTGCCTGCATGTATGTGAGTGCACCTGTGTTGTGCAATGCTGTGGAGGTCTTCGGATTCCCCTGGAACTGGAGTTAAGGATAGTTCGTAGCCACCATGTGGGTGTTGGGAATCAAACCTAGGGCCTCTGCAAGAGCAATCAGTGCTCTAAACCACTGAGCCATCTCTCCAGCCCCCAAGAAAAGCTTTTTTTAAAAAAAAATAGGAACCTGAGCCAGGCATGGTGGCGCACTCCTTTAATCCCAGCACTTGGGAGGCAGAGGCAGGCGGATCTCTGAGTTCAAGGCCAGCCTGGTCTACATAGTGAGTTCCAGGACAGCTGGGGCTACAGGGAGACCCTGTCTCAAAAAGACCAAAAGAAAAAAAAAAAAAAAAAAGGAATCTGGACTGGAGAGATGGCTCAGCAGTTAAGAGCACTGGCAGCTTTAGCAGAGGACCTGGATTCAGTTCCACAGCTAACAACCATCTGTAACTCCAGTTTCAGGGCATCCAATGTCCTCTTCTGGGCTCTGTGGGAACTGCACACATGGGTTCACTTGTGTACGTGTGGAGAAAATGCTCATACAGAAAATAATTTTTTAAAGATAGAAAGCCAAGGGGTACGGCAGAGACTGTGTTGTACAGACTTCAGTGGGACTGCAAGGTGAGCCAGGCTAAGCGGCAAGGAGCCTTGAATGCCAGTCAAAAAAGTTTGCTTCCCTCTTGAAGAATTCAGAGGTTCCGGAGGATTCTTAGTAGGAAAACAAATGGTCACTAGTGTGTGTGTGAAAAGAAAGAAGCAGGAAGATGCATGGCAGGCAACAGAATCTGATGTAAGACAGTGGTCAAATGGACAGTGGATGCTTGGACTGCTACCTGCTGGGGTTCCAGTGTGCGGGAAGCAAGCAGATGTGACTCTAAGATTAGGTTTGGGCCCCGGGTGGAGGCAGGTCATCAACCTCAAGCCCTTGATGATTTGATACCATCCTCTTGGGAAGCAACTCATACCACCCTTTTGGGAGACAACTCATGATTGGCCAGGAGTACCCTGTGTCTTTGGAGTCTGCGTGGCTAAGTGCAGGCCTGTCTTCAAAAGAGTCCCCCAAGTTCCCATACTTAAGAGGTTTGCAGGAAAGAGTGGGGCAAAAGTCGGAGCAGAAGCAGCCCTTCTGGGCTGCATTGCATCATGCCAGGCTTAGCCAGACGGCATAGGGTCTTCAACAAACCATGGGGTCGGAGCCCCTTAAGCCATCTAGCTCCCAGGCCATTAGGCCACTTCAGAAAAGGCAGGGATGTACCTGGCTCAACCCAGACTCCTGGGCCCAGAAAAGTGGAGTTGTGTGGGGTTGTGGGTCCCCTACTCCTCATCCTGACTTCTGTATCTTCCCTTCCCCTGACCCTAACACCCCACAGTGGCAACAGCAAAGGAAAGGACATCAACACCATTAAGTCCCTCCGGGTCCTCCGTGTGCTACGACCTCTTAAAACTATCAAGCGCCTGCCAAAGCTCAAGGTGAGCCTGGGGGATGGAGAAGAATGGTTGCCTAGACCAGCTGTGTTCAGATGAACACCATGCTAAGGGCCAGGCACAGTGATAAACACTAGGAATCTAGGCCCTTGGGAGACAGAAGGAAGATGTCAAGTTCATTGTCAGCCTGGGTTTCATAAGGAGACCCTGTCTCAAACAAAACTCCATTGAAGATGATGGTTGGGGCCTTGTGTCTCCATATGTGGAAGTCTTACTGTTAACTGATAGCAATTGAGGGGTTGGCTGACAGAATCTGCCCCAGGTAAGGGTCCTTTTTTGTGTGTGAGAGATGGTCTATGTAGCACCAGCTGTAGAATAGGCTAGCCCTGAACTCAGAGGATAGATAGAGGCAAGCGGATCTCAGAATTCTTTTTGATTCACTTTTGGAGTCCTATAGATTAAGCAGGGCCTAACTCTAACTGGAGAACCACAAATTCCAGGCCAGCCTGGTATACATAGCAAGACTGTTTGCAAAATAAAGTAAACGGGGCTAGAGAGGAAGAAAGATAACTCAGCAGAAGAGCACTGGCTGTTCTTGCAGAGGCTCTGGGTTTAGTTCCCAGCACCCACATGTCAGCTCACAACCATCCATAACTCCAGTTCCAGTGGCTCCATCACCCTCTTCTGATCTCCATGGGCCTTGTAGGAACAGGTGCTCCTACATGTATGCAGGCAAAACACTCATACATACAAAATAAAAATAAATAATAGGGCTAGAGATGTGGCTCCATTGGTGGAGTGTTTGCCTAGCATACATGAAACCCTGAATTGCCACATACCTCTAATCCCAGTACTTGGGTGTTGGAGGCAGGAGGGTTAGAAGTTCAAGGTCATTCTCTGCTACATAGCTGAGGGCTACCTGAGACCCTGTCTCAAAAAATACTAAACTAAAACATTTTCAATGACTATGAGCTGGTAGAGTATACAGTATATGGGCTATACAGGTGCTACACTGCTCTTAGGAAATAAGAATGGGAAATCCACACACACAGTCTACATAGTCCTCCAGTATTTTCAACCCAAGTGGTGGAGCCACTTGGCTGCAAAGGGAGTTGGCTGCTTTGCTCAGCCTGTTGGCAGTGGCAGGCCAGGGGCTGCTTTGCCCAGGCTGGGGAAGTTGAGGGAGGCTTTCCCACCCAGCCCTCATCTTCTCTTGCCTGCAGGCTGTGTTTGATTGCGTGGTGAACTCACTCAAAAATGTCTTCAACATCCTCATCGTGTACATGCTGTTCATGTTCATCTTCGCTGTGGTGGCTGTGCAGCTCTTCAAGGGCAAGTTCTTCCACTGCACTGATGAGTCCAAGGAGTTCGAAAGGGACTGCCGGTGGGTGGGCCTCCCTCCACAGGGCCTCAAAAGTGGGTGGGAGTTGGTGGGACACAGACAGACGTGGGTAGAGGTCACACACTGGAGCTGAGACACATAAGCAACTCAGGGTCAGCTTGGCTCTAGAACAGAAAGAGTTTTTAAAGTCAGGTGTGGGGCTGCACACCTGGGATCTCAGCAGTCAGGACTGGCTGAAACAGGAGGATCACCCTGAGTTTCAAGGCCAGCCTGAGCTACAGAGAGATTCTGTCTTAAAAAAAGAAAATTAAAAACAAGCTTTGTGATAGACTGCATGCTTGGCATGGGCAAGGCCCAGGTGGGGAGGCACAGACTGCTCATCCCACCACTCCTGAGGCTGAGACTGAGACAGAGACAGAGAGCTCCAGGCCAGCCTGGGCTGTAGCCTGTCTCAGAAAACAAAAGCCAAGAGAGAGAATTTGGGTCCCTCTACAGTTTACCTTACACCTTTGTCAAGTGGGGTTTATTAATCCTCATCCAAAGTCCCTCTGAGACCTTTATGAACAGATGTGCTTCAGAATTCAGATTACTTCCCAGGCATGGTGATTATCCATGGTGGTTGACACTCAGGATGCTGATGCAGGAAGATCTAGAGCTCTGGGCCAGCCTGGGCTACATAGTGAGACCCTGTCACACAGAAAGTATCCTAGACTTCTAGATGGGGCTGGAGACCCTTTCCTGCTCTGAAAGGAGCAGCCATGCCTTCTAGGGTGTGAGAAGCCTGGAAGCTGAATGTTCCTGTGTCTCCCCACTCTGTCTGCCTTCACACCCACACCCATGGCTGTCCCTGCAGAATTTGATCACTTCCGTTGAGAGACAAGGGCTGGGCCCTGTGTATTCTGTGGGTGGCTTCTCACCTGCCTCAGTGTCCAATGCTCCCCTCTGGGAAGCATAGGGACAAGGGACCTGAGGGCAGAGTCTTCTGTTAACTGATGGCCCTGCTCTGTGACAGTGGCAAGTACCTCTTGTATGAGAAGAATGAGGTGAAGGCGCGCGACCGGGAGTGGAAGAAGTACGAGTTCCACTACGACAATGTGCTCTGGGCCCTGCTCACCCTCTTCACAGTGTCCACGGGGGAAGGCTGGCCGCAGTGAGTGGTCCCGGGGTGCAGGGACCAATGGGTTATACTGTGGAGAGGGGTGGAGGACAGCAGCTGTGGCTGGCTGCACCCAGGTGTAGCCTGCACTGTCACCAGGAACAGTGGTCACTGGCTGTGGGTACAGCACAGTGGCAGAACTGCATAGCATGTTCAAAGGCCCCAATTCCTCCCTGAGGAGTACACACAAAAACTAAAAAACAGCCTTACCCTGGCGTGGTAGTGCATGCCTTTAATCCCAGCAGGCAGATCTGTGAACTCAAGGCCAGCCTGATATACATAGTGAGTTCTAGGCCAACTGGGTCTATACAGTAAGACCTTGTCCCACCCCCACTTCCCCCACCTCTGCCCCCAGACCAAAACACCAGCCTGGGGGATAGGTCAGGGTCAGGTGATAAAGTTTGAGCGCTCCATATGAAAGCCAGGCTTTGTAACTCTTAAGTGGGCAAGACAGGTGGATCCTAGTGGCTGAATGACTAATCAGCCTAATCAAGTGAGCCAGCTTCAGATATGGTGAAAGGCCCTATCCCAAGAGGGCTCAGCAGGTACAGGCACTTGTCGCCAAGCCTAAGGATTGAGCTGAATCCCCAGGGCCCATGCAGTGGAAGGAGAGAACAACACCATAGGCATGCCATAGGATGCATGCATGCACTCACACAAATCAATGAATAAAAATGTTGGGGCTCCTGCAGAGGACCCAAGTTAGGTTCCCAGCACCCATATTGGGCAGCTCACAAACACCTGTAACTCAAGCTCCAGAAAATCTAATGCCGTTTTCTGGCCTCAGGCACCCACACACATGTGAGAGACAGTCACACAGACATACACATAAATAAAAATAAAATTTAAAACAAATGTAGTAATAAAATAAGGTGGAGAGCAATCAAGGACACCTAATGTCAACCTCTGGCCTGCACACCACACACACAGAAACATGAACATGTGTATGTACACACTCAAAAGAAATAGCCTCATACTTCAGCATGTTTATACTGAATTGAAGCCATATAGATTAATATGGCCCTGCACAGGGAAAGCATGTAAATTTGTGAAGCATTCTGTATTTTTTATTTGGTTTGGCTTTTTGCAGCAGAGTCTCCTTGTAGTCCCACTGGCCTAGAACTCACTATATAGACCAGGCTGGCCTCCATCTCACAGAGATCCACCTGCCTCTGTCTCCCCAGTGCTGGGATTAAAGGCGTGTGCCACCACCATGCCTAGCTTGCATTCTGTATTTTTGAATTGGACAAATAGTGTGTGGTATTTAGTCACAGTGGAATATTACTCATAAAGATGAACAAGCTGGGTGTGGTGCACATTCCTGTAATGCCAGGTAACTTGGGAAGCTGAAGTAGGAGGATCACAAGTTCCAGGTTAGCCTGGCTACACAGTGAGCGCTCATCTCCAGAAAGTAAATCAATAAATGAAATGGCACTGGCAGTTTGCTCATTGTGGACTTTTTGATGTTTTTATTTTTTACATATTACAATAAGATTATTTATCTTGATTTCTTGCATTCCAGGAGCCTCTTTAATTTGTGACAGAGGCCAAATATCCCCCCATCTTTTCACCATAATCATGTTTATCTCTCCCAAGATTTTAGAAATGTCCAGTTAGAGGTGTAGCAGATTCCAGAATGTGCCTCACTGTCTTCACCGCCTTCCTCTCAGCAAACACCAACTGATTGTGTGCCTGTGCCTACCTGTATACATGCCCAGCACCGCACAGTGAGGCTGGCACTGCCTCCCCTGGAACCTGGGTGTAGAGTTTGTAAAGACTCCCTTTGTTGAGGTTAGAGAGGTGACTCAACAGTTAAGAGCACTTGCTGCTCTTCAAGAAGACCTGAGTTCAGTTCCCAACACCCACAGGCAGCTTACCACCTGTAACTCCAGCTCCCTAGGATCTGATGCCCTCTTCTGACCTCTATGAGCAATGCACTTACGTACACAAACACATACATAATTTAATTTTTTTAAATTTAGTTTTATTTTGTGTATGAGTATTTTTCCTGCATGTGCTTCAGTACACCCATGCATGCAGTGCCTGTAGAGGACAGAAGAGGGCATCAGATCCCCTGAATATGGAGTTAAGGATGGTTGTTAGCCACCATGTGGGTGCTGGGAACTCAGGCCCTGGTCTTCTGCAAGAGTAACCATTGCCCTTAACTGTTGAGTTACCTCTTTAGCTTCCTTTTTTTTTTTTTGGTTTTTTTGAGACAGGGTCTCCCTGTAGCCCCAGCTGTCCTGGAACTCAGTATGTAGACCAGGCTGGCCTTGAACTCACAGAGATCCGCCTTCCTCCCGAGTGCTGGGATTTAAAGGCGTATGCCACCATGCCTGGCTAGCTTCCTAATTTTTTAAAAAAAAATTATTTTCTATTTTATTTATTTTATGTGTATGAGTCTATTGCCTGCATGTGTGCAAGTGCACCTGTGTGGTGCAATACCCTGGGAGGTCAGAAGAGGGTGTCAGATCCCCTCGAACTCTAGTTATGGACAGTTGTTAGCAGACAAACCGGAACTGATAGATATGGATGGAATCAAACCCAAGTCCTCTGCAAGAGCAGCCAGTATTCTTAACTGCTGAGCCATCTTTCCAGGTCCCCCTCATTTTTTTAAAGAAAGTCAAAATGACACACAGAAATGATTTTGCCCAAACAGGGCATTCAGTGTCCACCTGCCAAAAGTCATCTTAAATATCCACATTTCTCATGTCAACTATGTAAAGGTGCTACTTGAGCACCAGACTTTTTCTTTGACAAGTAAATGAAGGATTACTTACAGAGCAAAGGACAGTCATGGATACTGTGTTAGCCAGACATAGAACTTTTTTTTGGAGTGCTGGGGATAGAACCCAGGGCCTCATGTATGCAAGACCAACACCCTGCCACTGAGCTGAAACCCTACCAACATGCAGAGCTTATGAACAGTGCACAATGTGTGTGACTAGAGCTGCAGTGTCCACACTCCCACATGCATTACTACCCCCGCCACACCTCTACTCAAATCCCCCACACTGCCCAGCACCTGCTTCCTCACCCCTCCATGCCATTCATCACCACAAGCCTGCTTCACCCCAGTGTAGCAGGTCCCTCTAAACTGCTGCACCTTGGTTTCCTTGTGTGCAAAAATGGAGCCAGGAATTACTGCTGGGAACCGTGTTCAATGTTCAGCATTATTTGTGGTACCTGGTCAACCCCAGTGCCTTAGAAGAATCACAAACTAGTTTCATTTCTTTTCCATTTTCTCCTCCATTCCCATGTTCCTGCCCTCCCTGTACCCTCTGCACTCTCCTCTCTCCTGTGACAGGGTCTTGAAGCACTCAGTGGATGCCACCTTCGAGAACCAGGGCCCCAGCCCTGGATATCGTATGGAGATGTCAATCTTCTATGTGGTCTACTTCGTGGTATTCCCCTTCTTCTTTGTGAACATCTTTGTGGCCTTGATCATCATCACCTTCCAAGAGCAGGGGGACAAAATGATGGAGGAGTACAGTCTGGAGAAAAACGAGGTACCACTGCCTAGCTGCGCTCTGTTTGAAAAGTGGCACACAGCCTACATTCATGCACACACACAGATCTAGGAACCCACTTTTAGAGATAACCGGGGACAAAAGCAGCAGACATCCCCAGGCAGGGGACGTCTGCAGCATAGCCCTCCTTGTAGTTCCAGAAAAAAATACATCAGCTACCATGATGTATTGGTTGGTGTGGATCACATTGTGCTGCAGTAACAAGCAGCCCCATATATCCACAAAGGGGCTGGTTTCTTGTCCACACTACATTCTAATTTGGTGGTCCTGTCCTTGCTTTCTTTACTCCCCTGACACAGCACAGCAATCTTCCTGTGAGATGTTTCAGAGCAAAGGGAGAATATACAAAACAGTGGTCCAGCCCTTGAGGCGTGGCCTTGAGGAGGTGTGTGCAGGGGTCTGTTCACCCCATATAAGGCACCAAAGGGTGGCCAGGCTCTCTGATGGTCCACTGCCATCTGCCCCAAGCAAGTGCCTACTGATCTTGGGATTCAGCAGCTGAGGAAACACTAAAAGGGATCATAAGCAAGACCCAGCACATGAAACTGTCCCATCCCTTCATAGCAGTGGTTCCATGGAAGAGTAGTGCTGGGCACAGCAGCATGAGCGGGAAGGGCTGCCTTGCTCTGCACTGTGCTCTGATCATTCCATGTGAGCTGTGTGCTGTCTCATCCTGGGGCTGCTGTGGGCTGCTGGGAGTCTCCAACCCATCATGGGCTCAGTGGGACCATGGCTTGACCTGGCCCAGGAGTGAGCAGGAACTCAGAGTGCTTTCACCTGCTGTGCCCATTGTATGTGCTGTGTCTGCTGTGTCCACTCTGTGTGCTGTGCCAGCTGTGTCCACTTGTGACCACTGTGGCCTTGTGAGCCAGCTTCCTGGTTCCACAAGCTCTTGGCTTGTACCACAGCTATCACCACTCCATCCCCAGCTGTTGAAGAGGCCCCAGGCTGGTTGAACAGCCTCAACCCCTGAGTTTGCTTTCTTGCATGAAAGAAGTGTACACAGCATTCTGGGGGACAGCTGATCATCCCTGAGGACATGCTTGGTCTTTTCCACTGCCCTACACCCTCTGGCTCCTCCCTCCCATCCTCTGATGAACTGATACTCAGGCTCTCACAGCTCTGAACTTAGCTTTTCCCTCAGGAACTCTCTCATGCAATTTCCCACAGTGGCCTTTGAGTGGCCCAGACAAACTCCTTGCCTGCCTTGCACTCACTTCTCTCATTCCCTCCATTGCTTTAGCACTTGGCAGACTTGATTTCCACACTGCTCTGAGTGCCTCAGACCTGCCAGAGCCTCTCTTTATAAAGCTCCTGTCCCACTGGGCCTCAGCCCTGTACATACTGGCCCCAGGGCCCATGATGGATCAACCTGTCAGCTCTCCTGTGAACACAGATCTCTCTGGCCCAGTGAACTGGGCATCAAACACTCCCTGTCCCCCCAGTGATGCCTGTCCTTCCTACATTGTCCAGTCTCTGGTATCCATGGAGACCTAGCCAAGTGTCCCTAATGGCTCATTATGACCCTGTCCATCCAGGACTGTCCCTTCATGCCACCTCAGGTGCTGCAGCCTTTGCTGCAGGGAGGGACAGGTGGGTATATCACCCAGATGCTCTGCTTCTAAAGCACTCAGACTGATTGTGTCCACTCCCGTGTCCAACGGCATCATTAGCCACACTGACAGGAGCTTTCATTGTTAAATCTTTCCCAGGCACTAGAGAAATGACTCAGTGGTTAGGAGTGCTTGCTGTTCTTACAAAGGACCTGAGAATTTTTATTCTAAGCTTTTGCCAACAAACACAGTTCAGATGCTGAGTTCTGAAGCAGGCCATTAGGAGGCCTTGTCTGCATGTTGAATCCTGGTCAGATCTAAGCAGCATCTGCTGTCTTCTTCTCATCCTTGCTGTGATTCTTCCTGTGGATTCTTAGTTACCGTTCTTGTTGCCATAAGAAAACACCTGGACAAAAGCAAGTTAAGGAAAGAAGTTGTTCACAGTTTAGGGTCATGGTTCTTCATTGATAGAGGTCAGGAACTTGAGGCAGCTGCTCACATCACACCCTCAGGAACAGAGCAATGAACACTGCAGCCCATCCCCAGTTAAAACCTGGGATCCAGGCTGCCCTCCTCTAGGGGGAGTCTTCCCACTTCAATTAGCCTAAAACCCTCACAGATGTACCTGGAGGTTTGTCACTTAAGTGATCCTGTCAGGGTGGCAATCACCACTGAGTGTCCCAGGTCCAAGGTGTCTGTCCTAGAGTGCTTCAGCACAAACCTGGCTGGCACTCCTCCTCCATCACCTCCCTCGTTCCACCCTCCTGCTTTTCCTGCCACATATGAGGCTACTGTGAAGACTAGCCTCTGCTCATCTGAGTCCTCCCTACAAGTGCTTTCTGGGTAGATGGCTGGGCCCAGCTGTCTTACCACCCATGGCAAAGTCCACCACAGCTGCCACCACAGTCTGCTTGGGACCTGTCTTCTATGTTTTACTATAGACTGTTAGAGTATGTTCTCTAGTCCAGCTGTGGGGCATCTCTTTCCTCATCTGGTGGGATCCTTCATCATGGAGGTGCACCACCCCATACTACACAAGGGAGATAGTCACCCTGAGTCCCCCATGTGCATTCTGATGACGGCCTCAGTTGTGGGTCTCATTCCCCTTAATGGAGGCACACATTACCATGGTGGAGACCAGCCATCCATACCACATGGGGAAGGCAGGCACATAGTTTACACTGGTGGGCACCCCTCCCTCACACGTGGCCTCAGTTGCATGTTTCATCACCCACCACAAAGCCTGCACAGCTGCTGTCCCCCCACTCACCCCTGGCTCTGAAGGTCCCTGTCTAGTGTGGGCCAGTGTCACTTTCCCTGGGGAGGCATGAACAATGGTCTGTTGTTTCTACACCCAGAGAAGGCACCAGTAGACCAAAGAAACCATTCCACCTGACTAGCATAGTAAAACACTGAGTTTCCTGGGGTTCCTGCAAGGAACCCCACAGAAAAAACACCACCAGCACGGGACAGGGGTGCTCCAAATGCTCATCCCTGCAGCTCCCTCACAGCTGGCAGCTGGGCCATTTGCAGCTCGCCTCAGCATGCAGTTGCATATAACCTACGGAAGGGGCCTTGTGAGCTTTGATTCACTCACTTCCTGGGTCTTGTGAACTACCCTCCCTCCAGCAGGAAAGATTTCAATGCAGAGTAGAGCTCCAGAACAGAGACCCATCACCCTGCTCACATTCTCATTAGCACAGCTGATGACAGATAGAGTATGGTCTCCCAGGGAGGGTGATTGGATTGTCAGGATAGCAGACTGCTGTACCTAGTCCAGCATTGCTGGTTCATGCCGGTCATCTCAGGAAGCCAAGGCAAGAAGATCATGAGTTCAAGACTATTCTGGACTATATATACCAAGACTCTGTCTCAAAAACAAACTTTCATTCAGTCTACCAAACAGTAAAGATGTGCCTCTTTGCTGTTCTAGAACCTCTGGCGTTCAGTACAGAATCTAGATTGCACCTTCCTTGGAGCTGTTGGCCCAAAACCCAGCACTGTTCCTACTCTCCCTCAAAGAAGACGAGGAAAAGCAGGATACTCAATAAGAAAGAATAGCTAGGTCAGGTCATAACAAAGACCTGTCATTCCAGCACTCATGAGGGAGAAGCAAGAGGATCACTAGTTGGAAGCCAGCATGGGCCACAGAATGAGACCGTATCTCAAAGATGAGAAAGGACCTGGAAGTGTGCCTCTGCTGGGAGAATGCTTGCTTAGCATACACAAAGCTCTGGGTGTGGTCCCCAGCAACACATAAACAAGGTCTATAGTGGAGGCACACCTGTCATCCCAGCACGCATGAGGTGGAGGCAGGAGGTTCAGGAGTTAAAGGTCATTCTTAACTACATAACAAGCTTCAAGACAGACTGGGCTACATAAGACCTGGGGGTGGGGGCGGGGGCGGGGGCAGAGAAGCTCTTGCTCTTCCAGAGGACCTGATCTAAGAGCACATGTCAGGCACACAGATATACACATAAGTCAAATGTTTTTTAAAGGCATGGAGGGAAGTAAGGGAGAAGGAGCAAGAAGAAGGAGGAGCGTAGGTCCTGAAGGCCAGACCGCTCTAACTTCACGTTTGGCACTTTTCTCAGTTCTGCCTCTCCGAGCCTCTGTTTCCTCATCTGTAGGTAAATGCTTGCAAGGGGGCTTCTGTGAGAAGAAGAGCACTTGCAGGTGACTTCCAAAGTCACTATAGATAAAAGGAAAAGCAGCAGTTTTTATGAGGATCCTGTGAGGACCACAGGTATCCTAGCTGGGGCAGAGAGAAGAGAAGATCCAGACAGCAAAGGCTGTGCACAACTGGCCTCCCCCTTGCCCAGACCCTCATGTGCTGGCCTCTCTCCCACAGAGGGCCTGCATTGACTTCGCCATCAGTGCCAAGCCACTGACCCGGCACATGCCTCAGAACAAGCAGAGCTTCCAGTACCGCATGTGGCAGTTTGTGGTATCCCCACCCTTTGAATACACCATCATGGCCATGATCGCACTCAATACCATCGTGCTGATGATGAAGGTGAGCCCCCCACATACCCCCCAATGTGAAACTGATGCAGCCTCCCATCTAGACCACCTCTGAACCTTCAAAACTGCTGTTCCCTTTGCTTGCCACACTGTTCCCACCCTGCTGCCTGGGCAGCTCCATCCTTCCTTGTAGGTATACATCCTCCAGGAAACTAAACTGTGCCTAGGGCTCATCTGCAGATATCTAGGGAATCATCTCACACGATGTGGCATCACTGTGGGGTCTCACGTTCCGTGCCATCCCCTCAGCCTGTGAGCTTCGCGGACCTAAGTGCCTGGCTCCTGGAACTCAGAAAGGGCCTCCTGAGGGTGGATGCTATCCGTGAATATGGGATGGGCAGATCATGGAAAGAAGCCAAGAAGCTCTAAGGTCCCCAGCCCCTCACTGAAGGATTCTAGGCAAGGACTCTACCACTGAGCCACATACTCCCAGGCCTTCCTCTTTTTAAAATGACTGAGTAGTTGAGCAATGATGATAATAATCAGGAGCCCCAGCCAGCACAGTGGCACACACCTGTCACCCCAGCAACTCAGAGGAACTAGGATGAGTTCAAGGCCAGCCTGGACAACTTAGTGAAACTCCATCTCTTTTGAGACCCTGTCTCAAAAAGACCAAAATTATTTAAAAATTATAAAAATAAATATAAGGAGACTGGAGAGATGGTTTAATGAGTAATGGCCCTTGCCACCAGACCTGGTGATCTGAGTTCAACTCCTGAGACCCACGTAGTAGGAGAGGACCAATTCCTCTACGTTATCCTCTGACCATTACATGCATGCACAAGTGCATGCCACACAATAAATAAAGTGTATTACATTTTGCTTTTTGAGACAAGGTCTCCCTGTAGCCCCAGCTGGCCTGTAACTTGCTGGTAGACCAGGCTGGCCTTGAACTCTCAGAGATCTGCCTGTCTCAGCCTCCCAAGTACTAGGATTTAAGCTGCCTGACTCCAGCTCTAGAGGACCTGGAGCCTTCTTCTGTGCTCTGCTGGAACACGCACATGTGGCAGACATACACACATAAATACAAAAGTAAAAATAATTAATTAAAAAAAAAAAAAACAGCGGTGGTGAGCATGCCTTTAATTCCAGCACTTGAGAGGCAGAGGTAGATGGGTGTCTGAGGCTTTCAGGTCGGCCTAGTCTACATAGGGAGTTTGGGGACAGCCAGGAAGGGCTACATAGTGAGACTGTCTCAAAAGCAAATAACAACCAAGAAACCAAGAGGCCTTGTCTACAATATCAGATGTTCCATGGGGAAAAAATAATAAATGAATAAATATATAAATAATTAAGTGTCCAGCATATCAGAAGAGAAAGATCATCACAAATTAAGACTAACAGGGTGGCTCATGGAGGTAAGCCCAGCACATGGAAGGCTGAGCCAGGAGAATTACCAGGATTCTGAGGCCAGCCTGTGCTAGAATGAAACCCTGTCTGGAAGAAACACACAGATCCCCTGATCTGTGGGATCCTGGGCTTTGTTGAGCTACTGCTAGGCAAACAGGTCCCATTTCTGTGGTCCTCCACTTCACAGCCTGGTTCCCAGCTGGCCACCAATACTTCTCTCCTCTCCATCTAGTTCTATGGCGCCTCAGTAGCTTATGAGAATGCCCTGCGTGTGTTCAACATCGTCTTTACCTCCCTCTTCTCTCTGGAGTGTGTACTCAAAGTCATGGCTTTTGGGATTCTGGTAAGTGTGGCCTAAGAGCAGCAGACTTTGGGGAGTGTACAAGGCCCAGGGCGTAGGAGAGGGTATGTGTTCTAGGCTCCAAGACCCTGTCCCAGTGATGGCCCAAGTTTCCTGCCCTCAGCCTCAGCCCTACCAGCAAATACCAGTGAGAGCCAACACACCTCTCCAGGGCCAGGTGCATGTAGAGTGAGCTGTCTCTGCAAATGCTCCTGTCCGGGCAACTGATGTCATCTCTTAGAGATGAGGAAACAAAGATCAGAGAGGAGGTGTTACAAGCCTGTCATCCCAGCACTTGAGAGGCTAAGGCAGAAGGCTCAGGAGTTCAAGGCCAGCCAGAAATAAAGTAAGACCTTGTCTCTTTAAAAAAAAAAGTTTTTAGTATAGTCCATCAGAAATCTCAACAGAGCCTGTTCATATATCAGTCAGGAGAGATCACATTAAGCTGAGGTAACATATCCCCTGTGTCTCAGAGACTCCTGTCAACAAAAGCTTTTTATTATACTCATCAAGGGGGTATTTTGCCTGCTAATTACTTGGGGATCCAACCTTGGGGAATAGCCACTGGAATGGTACTGGGCAGCAACATAATGTTAGAAGTCTGGAGTTAGAGCTGGGCAGATGGCTCAGTCTGAAGGTGGTTTGCCTTACATGCATGAGGATCTCAGTTTTATGCCTAGCACCCACATAAAAAGCCAGGCATAGCAGTGTGTATCTATAATCCTGGCACTAAGGAAGTAGAGTCAGGAGGGTCCCTGCAACTCAGTGACTAGCCTAACCAAAATCAGAGTTCCAGGCCTATCAGGCACCCTGCTCAAAACACAGTATAGACTGGGTGTGCTAGCTCAGGCCTTTAGTCCCAGCACTGAGGAAGTGGAGGCAAGTGGAGCTCTGTGAGTTAGAGGCCAGTCTGGTCTACCTAGAAAGTTCCAGGCCAGTCAGGACTACACAGTGAGAGCTTGTCTCAAAAAAACAAACAAAACAGCCAGGCACCTTTAATCCCAGAACTTGGGAGGCAGAGGCAGGCAGATCTCTGTGAGTTCAAGGCCAGCCTGGTCTACATAGTGAGTTCCAGGCTGAAGTCAACCCTGTCTCAAAAAGGCAAAAGGCAAAGAACAACAAAAAGAGGTAGGTGGCTCCTGAGAAATGACAACTGAGGTTGACTCTGGTCTCCAAACCCGTGTCCATATATGTGCGCACGTGCACACACACATACACACACACACACACACACACACACACACACACACACAGTTCTGGAGAATCTGTCCCTGGCTGGGAAGTGATACACTAGCTCTGCTCACAGCAACCCTGGCAGCTTTAAGTCCTGTTCCAATGCTCACTCTGCACCTCTGTCGTCCTCCTCCCCAGGTCAGGAAGTAGAGGCAACAGGAGGTTAGACTCCTTGCCCACAGCCACTCTTCTCTGATAGTAGAACTGGGATCTGAACTCAGAGGCCGCTCTCTTAGCTAGGGGGCTGTAAACACAGTGGGGCCCTGAATGCAGACACCAGGCTCCCCTGAGCCTGCATTTCAGTCCTGCAGGCAGGGCAGCCTTTCAGAGTTACTCTCTCTGAAGTCTGTTGTGTGGAACCCAAGGGTGTCCTTGATAAAGCACCTGGGAGCTTGGTGAAGCTTCATCAATGTTGGAGAGAAGGTCCCCAGCAGATGAGAAGCAGGTCCATTCAAGGGAAGAGAACTCAGATGACTTGCAGCAGTGCTTACTATACATCTGCCATGCGCTAACAGGCCCTGCCAGCCTTGGAGGGCCAGGGTACAGAGCCCTCTGTTGGCATCTCTATCTTGTGGGTCCTTGTTCTAGAATTATTTCCGCGATGCCTGGAACATCTTCGACTTTGTGACTGTTCTGGGCAGCATCACAGACATCCTCGTCACCGAGTTTGGGGTAAGTCTCCTGCTGGCTTCTCTCTGGGCAGCTGGGGTCTAGACTGGTGGGAGGCAGTGGGAGGTGGTGTTTGGAAGCAGCAGTTCCTGATAACTGCAGGCTCTGAACTACTACCTGGACAGGGACCACAGAGGGAGAGCCTTGGCTGCAGAGCATGAGACAAGGATTGAGTGCAAGGAGTTTTAACTAGGCAGTGATCCTGGGTGCAAGGACAGCTCCTTAAAATTACAATGAGGGGCCAGGCGTGGTGGTACATGCCTTTAATCCCGGCACTGGGGAGACAGAGGAAGGCAGAGCTCTGAGGGTTAAAGGCCAGCCTGGTCTACATAGTGCGTTCCAGGCCAGCTGGGGCTACCAGGAAGGAGACCCTATCTCAAAAAGACCAAAAATTTTTTTTAAAGATTCCAGTGAGGGGAGCTGGACATGTCCAAAGCCCATATGTGGGGCCAGCACTGTGGGGTGGGCTTCCCTGCCTCTTGGCTGGTGATTTATGGATAAAGAGTGAGACTTAGGGACTAGTGCTGCAGTTAACTGCATTATGAGAACTCAGACATTAAAGGCATGTGGAGCTGGCTTGGTCCCAGTTGTCCCTCAAGGTTGGGCTCCAGAGAGAACAGCTGAAGGTCAGTTTGGCTCAAGTTTCCCCCTGCTGGCCACTGTGGGAATGGTACTCCCAAGGCCTTAGAAGGGTCCTGGGACATCTGCCCTCCTCCAGGCCCAGGCCAGGGGGTTCCAAATAGGGAAAAGGTGAAGCTCCTCAGACTCTTAGACTACTTTGTCCTTAACACTTTCCTAGAAAATTCAGGACCCCAGAATTCCCCTCCCCAGATCTTGCTTGTCCTTGGCCATGAACCAGAATGCCCAGGCTTGAGACCCCTCAGGAGACTAGAAACAGCAGGCAATCTTCCCAGGGGCCAAAAGGTCCAAAAGCATCAATGCCCATGGCTGGTGGTGGGGTGGACGGCACCCAATAACAATGAAAATAATAATTGGACTGGGAACACAGCTCAGCTGCGGAGTGCTGGCCTGGCCTGAGTGAGGCCCTAGGTTCATCCCCAGCACCCCCCCCACACACACCATTGGTGATAATACTGTACCAAGCACTTCATGTGAACTAGTTCATAGAGAGGGTCTAGGTTCAGTGCATAGGAGAATTCCCTCAGAGTTAAACAGAAAGAACTAAAGAAACACCGAGTTGTCAGATCAGGGAGAGGGGATCAAAGGATAACCAGCTGCCCAGCTATTGCCTGCCTTCCATGCTGAAGTGGGAAGGGCTGGCAGGTGGAAGCTGTCCACACAGGACAGAGACCAAAATGGAACCAGTAGAGCACAGTGGGGATGAGGTCCTGTCCCCCCTGCCCCCTCTCATGCCAGCACCTCCTGCTGACCAAGAAGAATCAGGGGTGAAACCTGGGGAAATGGGAAGGAGAGAGGAAGTCCTGGGCATGGCAGGGCCTGCAGAGTAAGGCCCTTTACCACTGAGCAGAGAACAGCCTTGAGACAATGACCCTTTGGGTTCAGAGGTTAGGAGGGGCTGCCAGCTCCCCAGCAGAGTGGGTGGAGGGAGTTGGTTGAAACTAACAATTGACAGTAAAACATAGTTCCCACTGTTTGTTCTGTCAGGTAGGATGGTGGCATACAGAGAACAATTCAGAAACAAGACCATTGCAGTAGCCAAACGGCCCTTTGAACTGCCCAAGTGCTCTTGGCCAACCTCATCTTTTATGCAGCAGGGGGTAATGGCTGCCACTGGCCTTACCAGTTCCTGACATGATTCTCATTTACTCAAACATTGCACAGGCACACATTGAGCACCTCCTGTGTCCAAGGACAGTTACAGGTGCTATAGACAGAGCAGGGTGGCAAAACAAGACAGCAAGCATGCAGAATGTCTGACTCCAGAGAGGTCCTGCTCTGTAGAGAGGTAAACAAGAACAGGTGAAGGTTGGCAAGATATCCAGGCGTGGTGGTGCACACCTTCAATCCCAGCACTTAGGAGGCAGAAGCAGGCGAATCTCTGAGATTGAGGCCTGCCTAGTATACATAGCAAGTTCCAGGCCAACCAGAGCTACATGGTGAGACCTTGTCTCAAAAAACAAAAACAAACAAAATCTGACAACTTGAGTTTGATTCCTGGAACCTACATGGTAGAAGAAGAGAACCAACTCCCACAAGCTGCCCTCTGACCTCCACATGTGCACACATATACACAAGCGCACAAATGTGATTTAAATTTTAAATGTATATCTAATAATAAATGTAAATTTGAAAAAAAAAAAAACTTTAAGAGCGGGTGGTCTGGGAGTGCAGTTCAGTGGGAGAATACCTGCCTAGAATCCCCTAGTGAGGGACTAAGAGGCATGGCTCTGCAGTAGAGTACTGGGTTAGCGTGTGAGAGACCCTGGGCCTATCTGCAGTGGCACACACACAAGCATAGGAAGTGCTTGGCATTTCCCAGCATTATTACTGTTCCCATTGTTACTGTTCCCGTGAATGTCCTGCCACCCTGAGTCACCATCATTTTGAGAGGGAGATGGTGGGTGGGTGCACCAGGTCCCAGTAGCCCAGTCTGGGACCCAGGTAAGACCACCATCTCTGAGGCAGGAGCAGGACTGAGGCAGGGAAGCTGGAGGGCAATTCCCTGGGGGTTGAAAGGCAAGGGCATGTGCCAGTGACATAGCACAGCCCTGGGCTGTCACACCCAGACTTGGCCAGGGAGGCGTGGGTTTGCCCTTGAGCAATGGATAATGACTGTGTTTCTTGTCTTGTCTCTTTCCATGCCTGCTGTTTAAACTGTATATTGGCTCAACGCCCTCTGAAAAACTCATCCAATCAAAATGCACTATGAAATTCATTTGTTCACCCATGACGTGGTCTGTGTGTCCATACACCAATGACTTACCTCCCAACCCACCGCCACCACCACCCCACTCCCCACCCGGGAACTGAAACCCATTGGTTTTTTGGCACTGATTATAAATCCACCTAAAAATAAAAACCGCTGAATCGCCTCCCCAACTGCCCCCGCCCGCCCGCCCCCCTCCATCTTCAACATCTGCATCTAGAATCCGGTTGGTGTTACTTCTTTCTGAAGTGTAAATGCCTTACATTAACTGTGACTGCACCGCATGACCACCCCAGCTTTCCTGTGGGATGCTTGCCCATTGTACTCCCCACTTGTCCTGCCTCTGTTGTCGTGTCTCCCCCCAACCCCCCCCCCAACCCTTGGTTGGTTTAATTGGAATCTGGATCAGGGACTTCTGTTCTGATGGGTTTGTGTCTTTGGCTAGAAAGGGATCCACTGCTCCTACTGAGATCCCAGGGTGGGACCTGCCTCCCACCTCTTTACAGGCATATCCCTTATGTTCTGAACCACTCCAGAACTGAGTGGGAGTAGCACACAGCTGTGGGCCCAGCCTACAGGAGGCTGAGGTTAGAGGAATGACATTGAAGGTCAGCCTGGGCTACATACCAAGTCTGTTTCAAGAAAAAAAAAAAAAAAAAAAGCTGGGAAGATGGGTCAGCTTACAAAGTTTTTGCCATGCATGCATAAGGACTTAAGTTTGGATCCTCAGCACCCATGTAAAAAGCCAGGTCACATTTGTAACCTCAGTGTGGGAAGCAGAGACAGAAGGATCCCTGGGTCTCGATAGCCAAACCAGTGAGCTCCCAGCTTAGGGAGAGACCTGATCCCAAAACACAGGATAGAACCAGCACTGTCTCTGTGTTCAAGACCAGCCTGGTCTACGTAGTGAGTTCCAAGCCAGCCAGGGCTACACAGAAAGACCTTATCTCTAAATAAGTAAGTGATGGAAAATGACTGCACGAAGACATCTGAAGTTGACCTCAGGACTCCATACACATGTGTACACACATAGGCATATGAAGTACATGCACACACAAGCACATGTGAACTCAGATGAACATATATACACCCAGCCCCTCACTTCACTATATACCACATGATCTATCCCTCCAAATTTCTTGGCCCCCCTCACAACCCTCAGTTGCTGTGAACTCCCACCTCTGCCCTTGTGCTCACCTCCATGGAGCCCCTCTAAAGGACCCTTATTGTCATGCCCACAGCATTCATTCACCAGATCCCAGTTAGGGGTCACTGATGGTGGGACAGATGCAGCCCCCTACTTGATTATTGTGGGAGGGCACGCATTGATCCACAACCTCTTACTCCACTTGAAACTGTAACTGCACTGCTAGGTAATATTAACAAGGCAGAGAAAAGAAATGGCCATTTCAGGCCCTATGGGACAGCACATGCAAAGGCCCTGTGGCCAGGCAGAGTACACAGTGGTCAGAGTCTGTGCATCAGTGATGAGGATGCAGCAAAGAAGCAGGGCTGGCCAATGGGGGAGAGGTCTGGTGGGGAATCTCAGCAGTGGGTGTGTGTGGAAGGGTCTGAGTCAGGGCACTCCTGGGAGTGCCATTAGATCACTTTTGCTGAAGAGAAAGTCGGGCTGGAAGTTGGCACCACAAAACCCAGCAAGAGGTGGCAATGGAGGAGGGAGAGGATGGCCAGAGGCCTGGCTACATCTGTAGAATCCTCTGGGGAAGAACAGGTCTGGGCCTGGGAGATAGAGGTACCCTAGGATGCTGGGAATGGCTATGGAGGTGGAGGTTAGAGTGGGAGGAATCGAGGGGTCATGAAGAGAGCACACCATGGCCAGTGAGGTGCCCTCTAGGTACCCCAGAAGTCAGGAGTTTTCGGTTTGAGGAAAGCACCGGGTGGAAGTTGGATTAGCAAGTGGCAAGAATTCTTGGAACCTGGGGTAGGTGGTGCCCATTGCCTTCTGCATGCCTGAGGGACACCTGCCCTTGGGCATGGCACTAGGAGAGGGCCCCCACTCCTGGCCCTCCATCACCTTGGGCTCTAGTTTGGAGCAAGCAGGGTTGGTTCTGAGCGGAAGTTTCTCCATTGATGGAAAGTGGGAACTAGGAATAGGGCTCTTGGCAGTTCTGTGTACTGAGAACTTCCCTACAGGAAGAGCTGGAGGAGTGGATGAGGGCTGAGGCCCTGCCCCCATCCCCGACCCTTCCTCCCTCATGTGTGTGCATGCTTTGCAGCTGCTAGATCCCTAGCTTTTGCATGTGCCAGCACACCCCCCCACCCCCCACCCCGCTCCCAAGAACCTCTGCCTCCAATGCATGCATGCTCCCCCGAGCCCACATGTTATGATCTGCCCCAGGGAAGGGATGGCTTGTTCTCTGGGGGGTGAGTGGGAGGGGGTTGGGGACTCCTGGGCAATCTCCATCCCCAGGTGGAGCTGGGTGGTCAGGCAGGATCTAATGTCAAGTCAGAGGGGGGCGGGGCATGGAGGGTGACTCTTACCTGGGTTTACAGGCTGGGTTAAGGCTCTTGAAACAGGCTCACTCACAATGATTGGGACCAACAGTGTCCCAATGTAAGAGCTGGAGCCCCCTAGCCCATCCCAGAGGCCCAAGGGCCAAGCTTTGTATCTCAGAGAATATCCAAGACATTACTAACAAACCAGAGGCCTCTTACCAGCCTCAGACTCCAGTCACTGCCTCTCACCTCCAAGCCAGAGCTAGCACAAAGCAATTTCAGGTGGTGAGACACCTCCCAGAAGTGGGCTAAACAATTACTGTACAAAGACCAGGAACAGTGGTGCCAGCCTGGAATCCCAGCACCCTGGAGGCTGAGGTAGGAGGATCCCAAATTGAAGCCCAATCTGGGCGAGATAACAGGAGCCTGTTGCAAATTTGAACCCAGAAGGATGCCCTAGTTGTCAAGGCAACCTCCACAATTGGGGCCTGTGCCCTTGGGCCTACTTAAATCTTGCCTGAGGCATGACGCCAGAACTGCTACAAATCCTTGGATGGGGGCCAGTAAGCCCCCTTCTAGCAGGAGACTCAGTGCCCTCCTGCCTCCCGTTTGCTGGTACTGACTATGTGGTCCTCCAGGCAGAAAACAAACACTCTGGGCCAGAAGAGTGTCATTTTTGGAAAGGAGGGTGTGTGGCCTGCCTCTGGGGGACAGGTATGAGAGGCCCAGGAGAGCCAGAAAGCCAGATTGATGGGCAAAATCCGATTTTTAAACCGCAACTTTTAAATTTATATATATATTATATGTATATATTATATATATAATATATATGATAGTCCCAACAAATTAACTTCCCCGGTCAGACTGGGTCACTTGTAATTTCGGGCTTCCCACCCTTCACCAGTGCCCCTGAAACCCCTGGAGAGCCTGGGTCTTAACCCCGGTTTCCAGCTGGCCTCCCCTCCACCTGCAGCCTGGGTGGGAGACCACAGAGGCAGCGACTGGACCCGGGTTTGGAGCACAGGCAGGGTCCACCCAGGGAGGTCCAGGGGGCAGGGATGGCCCCCTACCCCACCCCACCCCCGGCACCAGCCCCTTGGTGGGCCCTGGGCTGATGGGAGCTAACCCGCCCCCGGGAGCTCAGACCTTCCTGCTTCCCGCAGGCCTGGTCCCGAGACACCACCCAGCCCCAGAAGCTGAGAAGCCATCCCTGAGAGGGGGGAAAAGGGCCCCTAATGCATCTTCTCCGACTCAGCGGGCAGCGAGGACTCACCCTGCAGCTGAACAGCCCCAGCTCCCTCCCGTCCTCCCCATTCCCGCTCGCCAAGGGGGTAAGAAAAGATACCCTTCGCTTCTCCCCAATGGCTCCAGCCGCTGCTCCTCTGGGCCGTGGGGTGAGGTGAGGGCGGGCAGGAGCGGGTGGGCAGCTCGGCAGGGCAGGGCAGGGCAGGGTGCCCGGTGAGTCCCGTGACAGATGCATTTCTGGCCCGGAGCGTAACATGCCCTCGGACCCGCACTCCTCCACCAGGCCTGAGCGTGCTGGCGCCCTCCCCTCCCCGCCGTGTGTATATATGTTTGTTTGTTTTTTCGTGTGTGTGTGTGTGTGTGTGTGTGTGTGTGTGTGTGTGTGTGTGTTTGCATGCATGTAGAGGTATGTTCCTCTATTGCTGTCCACTGACTGTTTTTGAGACAGGATTTCTTACTGATTGTTCATTAGGCTAGACCGGGTGGCCAGTGAGATGTGTATGCCTTGTCCGCCTGGCCTGTAATGGGCTCGCCTTGTGCTCCTGTGATGGGCTCGCAACCTGACCTGCCTGTGTCCTACCGTCTCAGTGCATTTGGTTGTTGGGAGAAACAAAACCATCTCGATTTTTTTCCTGATTGGATGATTCGGATATATTATTTTCTTTTCCTCGCTCTTTTTGTTATCCCTTCCCCACCCCTGTCCTTTCCCGCCTGCCCCCCGCCCTTTTTCTTTCTTTTTCTCCTTTACGGGTGGGGCTGGCAGGGAGGGTTTACGCTTTTGAGCCCCCTTCTCTCTCCTCTCCCCTCCCTATTCTCTTTCTTTTCTTTTTTCTTTTTTTTAGTTGTAGTTTCTCCTCTGCTCCGTTGCATTAATAGTGCTTTCTCTCCTCTCCCTCCTTATTTGGGATCTGGCTTGCTTTTTTCCTGTTGGTTGGCTTCATGTAGAGGCCTCTGTGAGTGCTGACAACTCTAAGCCCCTCAGGGTGGGTGGATGGTCACCTTTCTTCCCCCATTTCCTCAGAATAACTTCATCAACCTGAGTTTTCTCCGCCTCTTCCGAGCTGCCCGGCTCATCAAACTCCTCCGGCAGGGCTACACCATCCGCATTCTCCTCTGGACCTTCGTGCAGTCCTTCAAGGTGAGCCCCAGCCCCTGGTCAGGATGAAGTAAGGACCGCAGGCTGCATGTGGCTGTGTAGTGCAGCCTTACTGAGTCTGCAGGGATACCTGACTTTTGCCCCTAGAGCCCAGCGCTCTAAAGGCCTCAAGAGCCCTAAAGAGACACACCAGCTGACTCACGGGGTGCAACAGAGGCCAGGCCCCAGCAGCCCTCCTCATTGCCTCCCTCCCGCTAGGCCCTGCCGTATGTCTGCCTGCTGATTGCCATGCTCTTCTTCATCTACGCCATCATTGGGATGCAGGTGAGCCACTCTGGGAGGGAGCCGGGGCTGTCTCAGACTTGGCTACCGCAATTAACGAAGGCTTCCTGGGAGCCACCACAGCCGCCACTGTCCCTGACCCTCACTCTCCAACTCCCCAGGTGTTTGGCAATATCGGCATTGACATGGAGGATGAGGACAGTGATGAGGACGAGTTCCAAATCACGGAGCACAATAACTTCCGAACGTTCTTCCAGGCGCTCATGCTTCTCTTCCGGTGAGGGGGCGTGGCCTCAGCATTTGTACCCCTGGAGTGGGGCTTAGGGTTGGGGAACCTGCCTTGAGCTTCTATTTGCGCTGCAAGGGAACTTGCCTTCATTCCCCCTGTGTGCCCTTTACTCTCTTCCAATTGGGGGTGTGTTTTATGTTAGATTTTTGGAGAATAAAAGGAAAGAGGTGTGTAGGACACAAGAAAACAGCCAGACCTGCAACAGGCAGGGAGTGTGTGTGTGTGTGTGTGTATCTTCCATTTTTCAAAGAAGATACAGTAAGAGGTAGAGGCTGTCCACGGGAACCAAGCATCTACAACTAGACAAAGAAACTGGGGAGTTTTTATACGAAAGTTGTGAGACACAGCTGCACTTCGTGGGGAGTTGAATTTAATGCCTGCTTTTGGTGTCCTTGAGGGTCTCTTTTCTCACACAGGCAGGTGAGTTATCTATAGCACTAAAGAAGACAGGTGGGCTCCACAAAGAGTCTCTCAGTCCAGGGAATGACAAATTGATTAGGCTTGAGCCAGGCCAGGCTGCCAATTTAGGGCCAGTTAGACACTTTAAGGGATTTATGGCTTTCCCTAATGAAGCCTGTGGCTCTTCTGCAATTCACGTATTCTGTCAGTTTAGCCCTTCCACAGTGCCCAAATACCCTCCTCTTTTGGTGAGGTTCAGGGTAAGTGTCTGGGAAGTACGGGTCCTGAAGCAGTGTAGGAGTAGAAAAGGTGGATTCTTAGTATTATCGAGGTGAATCTCTCCCTCACCAGCTTTTAAAGTGTGGGTTCCTGGAGACCCCATGTGATACATAAGGAAACAGACCTGTGGAGTCTTGATGTTTGGTTTTTAATCCTGGCTGCCTATAAAAGTTCCTTGATTGAGTCAACAGGCTTATGGGCAACTACTGTGTTCCACACATGGCTGTGAAAACTAGGACATAGCCAGGAAGATAACCTAATGGAGGGAAAAAGAAAACACTGTCCTCTGGAAACTTGGGGAAGACAATTGGTAAACTAATTATTGAAGCTGCTAGAAGGGGTTAAAATTGAAGGTTTAAAAGGGAATGGGAACCTGGTGTGGTGGTGCATACCTGTAATCCCAGCACATAGGCTGGGCCAGGCAGGGAGATTGACAGTTTGAGAGTAACCTAGGCTATGTAGTGGGACCCTATGAGACAGAGTCGGGGGTGGGTGGAGAGAGAGCACTTTAGAAGACCATCAGGCAGAGGGTACAGCCAACACAAAGCCAGGAGCATGGCTGATGTATTTTAAGACAGTGAGGAAGCTGGCATGTTTGGAGTAGCGGCCCAGGAAGAAAGCACTAAGAGCTGGAGAGCTTTGAGTCACACAGATATCTATCCCCAAATCTCACAGTGCAACTACACCCTACCCCACCATCAGTGGACTTTCTGTGAAAAATATTTTATTATTTCTATTTTATGTGTATGAGTGTATTGCCTGCATGTGTGTAAGTGCATCCGTGTTGTGCGTCTGAGGAGATCAGAAGGCTTTGGATCTCCTGGAACTAGAGTTACAGACAGTTGTTAGCCGCCATGTAGGTGCTGGGAATCAAACCCAGGTCCTCTGCATCAGCAGTCAGTGCTCTTAACCACTGAACCATCTCTCCAGCCCTATCAGTGGACTTCTTTAAAAACTTTTTGTTACCTTTATTTGTTTACGTGGGGGAGCAAGCGTACTAGGCATACAGGTGAAGCTCAGAGAACAATTTATGGTCGTTATTTGTCCCCTTCCACCATGTGGGGTCCCCCTGTCTTTCACCATGTGAATTCCAGGGATCAAACTCAAGTGGTCAGTCCTCACAGCAAGTGCCTGTAGTACCCACTGTGCCATCTGACCAACCCCTCATCATGGGTTGAACATGGCCATCAGACTGCTTAGGAAGAGGGGATAGTCTGCTTGGGACCCCAGCCCATGACTGGCCAGCCTAGAGCCTTAGCCCATACCCTGAAAGGGCCACAGTGGTATCAGGTCAGGGTCAGAGCCCAAGTCACTGACACCTCCCTTGTCCTCAGGAGCGCCACAGGGGAAGCATGGCACAACATCATGCTATCCTGCCTCAGTGGGAAGCCATGCGACAGGAACTCCGGCATCCACACTGCCGACTGTGGCAATGAGTTTGCGTACTTCTACTTTGTCTCCTTCATCTTCCTCTGCTCCTTCCTGGTGAGTCTAAGTGCACAGGGCCATGTCCTAACTCCCGGCTCTGACTCAGGAAGTTGGATTTTTATAGAATGTGACTGGGGTCCAAGGTTTGCTCCCTCCCTGATATTGACAAATTGTCACCCACAAAATGACACCTGGCCAGAGTGACCACGGGTCTGTGCTCTGGAGGAAGCAATACCCCAGGCTTCCACTCACTCATAGCAGTAGCACTACTGCCTCCTAGGGAGGCCTGGAGTCTCCCCCATTGGTGTCAGAGACAAGGCTCTTGCCTTGTGCCCTACTCACATAGCTTCCCGCTCCCAACTCTGTGCCATCCCTGCCTTTGCCTCTGTCTCTGTCTCTGTGTACCTACATCATCACTGGCTCTCACTCTCGCTGGCCTCCTTATGAGTGCAGATCTTTCTTCTCTGTGTCCTGTCTCCTGTCTCTGTCTCTCCCTCTTCCCCTTCTGTTCCCCTTCTCTCTCCCCTGGGCCTTTGTATTCCTTGCCTTTGGGGGTGTTTGCCTGTCCCACAACACTCTCTTTCTACTCCCATTGGCCCCTCATTGCCCCCCCCCAGATGCTGAATCTCTTTGTTGCCGTCATCATGGACAACTTTGAATACCTCACCCGAGACTCCTCCATCCTGGGCCCCCACCACTTGGATGAATACGTGCGTGTCTGGGCCGAGTATGACCCGGCTGCTTGGTAAGCAGGCATCTCAAACCTTTGACCAAGTTGCCCATCTCTTTCTGAAACTGGGACAGGACCTAGGTCAGGTCTCAGGCAAGGGCATCATGTTCTGGGGTTTTAATAGGGACCTTGTGAGTGAGTCTAGAAGACAGAGTAGGAACTGTGACCCTCATACACCCCAGGTTGAGCACAACCCACCCCTGTCCAAGCCCCAGACTTTCTAGCAAGAGGGAAGGGGTCAGCTATGAGGAATTTCAAAGAGTCTTGGCCCCCACAAGTCTTCGTCATCTTATAGTGAAGCTTCCAGGTGATGACCCAACCCTAGCCTCTGTTCACCTGGGGGTGCAGAGGCAGCACTGGCCTGCCTTCTCATGTGGCAGGATTAGAATTACAGAACCCAGTCAGTTCTGTAAAACTTAGTACACACTCGGGTTGTGGTAGCACATGCCTTTAATCCCAGCACTTGGGAGACAGAGGCAGGAGGATCTCTGGGAGATCAATGCCAGCCTGGTCTACATAGTGAGTTCCAGGCCAGGTGGGGCTCTGGGAGACCCTGTCTAAAATTTTAAAAAAGACTTAGAGCAGGCCAAGCCTGATGTCATATGTGAGCAATCTCAGCACTCAGGAGACTGAGGCAGGAGGATGAGGAGTTTAGGGCCAGCTTGGGCTACAAGTAACTCTGTTTCAAAAAATTAAAAGGGACTGGAGAGATGGCTCAGCAGTTAAGAGCATTGACTGTTCTTACAGAGGACCTGGGTTTGATTCCCAGCACCCACATGGCAGCTAACAACCACAACCATGTATAATTCCGGTTCCAGAAGATCCAACACCCTCTCCTGATCTCCGGAGGCATTATTTGGCACGTGTGTACTTACATCCATGCAGACATAGCACTCATACACACAAAATAAAAATAAATCAAAGAAATAAACACATAAATAAATAAAATATAAGGACCAGCCAGTCATGGTGGCTCATAACTTTAATCCCAGCACTTGGGAGGCAGAGACAGGCAGATCTCTAAGATTGAGGTCAGCCTGGTCTCCATAGGGAGTTCCATACCAGCTGGTGCTACGTGGAGACCCTGTCTCTAATTAATTAATTAATTAATTAATTAAATTAAAAACAAGACAGGCATAGTGGCACATGCCTTTAAATCCTTGTACTCAGGAGGTAGAGGCAGGTGAATCTCCATAAGATCAAGGCTAGCCCCATTCTACATAGTGAGTTCTAGGCCTGCCAGGGCCACATAATTAGACTCTGTCTCAAAAAAACAAAAAATAAAAATGTTAAAAGGTGTAGCTCAGTAGTAGAACATTTGCCTAGCATATGCAAGGCCCTTGATTCCATCTTCAGCACCTTCAAAAATTTAATTTAATTTAATTTAAAAAGCACACATAATCAAACCTTAGAGCAGAAAGTCACACAGGCCAGGCCAGGCGGCCTAAGGGTCTGGCATCCTCCTGGTGAAGAGTGAACTCCTCTGTCTCCCAGAGATCCCAACACACCCCTGGCAGAAGGAGATGGTATCAGCTAAGCTCTTGTCATGTACTGGGAACCCACTGGGCACCAGGTCCCTCCAGGGTGTACTGAGAGCACCACTTGCTAAGCAAAGATTCGAATTCAGACTGTACATGAAGGAGCACTTCTGGGGGCCCCTCAGCAGCCTGTGCCTGCCTCAGCCCTGTAGGGGAGACCCCATAAGGAAGATAGACAGGGGTCTGTCCTTTGTCTTTGTCATGACTGCAGCCCCAGACAGGCCCTCCATGAGACTGAGAGGTTGAGGCCAGGTATGGGGCTGAGCTGGCTTTGCTCTTTTTAACTCTTCCTTTCTTGATTCTAGGTCACTGAATTGGGATGCTGTCCCCTCTCCTCTAGTGTCCTACCTCCTCATGTAGCCCATGTAGATGTTGGAGGAAGCAAATGTAGAGTCCTAGGTGGAGATCTCCACAGCCCAGAACCTCCAACACACCCACCCCATCAAAGCCCTCTGTCCCTGGAGAGGCGGGTACAAGTGACTGGGAAACACCAAGGACCTTTACCTGTCCCAACTCCCCACTCCAAACCAAGAGGCCCCAGCCTCTTCATCCTGGCCTGGCTACAGACTGGGAGCCTGCCCCTCGAAGTTGTGTAGTTGTATAGTTGCAGGCATTCCAGGACCTCCACTAACCCTGTCTTCTCCTTTCAGCGGCCGCATTCACTATAAGGACATGTACAGTTTATTGCGAGTAATCTCTCCCCCTCTCGGCTTAGGCAAGAAATGTCCTCATAGGGTTGCTTGCAAGGTTTGACTCCACTAAAACCTGCTAGCATCGGTTGAATGAGTGTGGCTTGGGGTCTTCCATATATATATTTCATATATATATATATCTAAAAAACAGAGCCATCTCTTTCACTCTTTTGCATTAAACTAGCAAACTCTTAGCCTACAGAATGCGGCCACGCAGACTCCACGAAGCATGGGACATACCTCTCTGTTCCCTCCAAACATCTGTGCTTGCTCTTAGCCAAAGTTGCCCATCCCGGGGTCTCAACAGCACCCCAAAATTAGATACATCCCTAGGGGGAGTTGTAATTTTACATTGCCCAGCCCCCACCGTCACCCCTACTCTCTCTCTCCTCTACCACCCCCTGCCTCCCAAAGTACCCAGTTCTCCTTCCCACCCCCAGTCCTCGCTCCCATTCCCCACCAAGCACCCTCAGAGACCAGCCTCAGCCAAACCAGAAAATTTACCCCACTTCAGTAACCAACCTTGACCTTGAACAGTAAGGCCTCCAACTCTTCGTCCTACCTAAACCACAGCTTGGAGCCCAAGTGGAATTTGACTGTTTCTCTTTTCTCTCTCTCCCTGCTTGTAAGCAGTGAAATGATCATTTTTTTTAATTGCCTTCCATTTTTTTCTCCTCTTTTCCATTTATTTGAAATAACTATTTTATTGTTCTCTGCCTCTTTCTCTCTATTTTTTCGGCTCGTGTGGTTTTTGTTTTTTGTGTTTTTTTTTCTTCTGTTCTCCACTGTTCCCCTTACCCATTTGGTTCTCTGTTCCCCCATTCCCTCCCCCCATTTTTGTTTTTGGTACTGCCAGGGGTCGCATGCCTTACCCGGACATGTATCAGATGCTGAGACACATGTCCCCGCCCCTGGGCCTGGGGAAGAAGTGCCCGGCCAGAGTGGCTTACAAGGTAGTCTATCTTTGCCGACACCATGCCCGGCGCTGGGGACTTTTCCGTGGTGACCACAAACACCCAGCGAGTCTTCTGCCAACACTCCTCTTCTTTTTTCTTTTTTTCTTTTCTCGAGTAATTGAGTCATGAGTGTCCCTCACTCTGAGTAGCTCACTGTGTCCTTTCTGATGAGTGTCTACGTGTTTTGAGACTCCATTATGGCCCACAAGCCAGGGGGAGGGGGAGGGAAGCGCTCCAATCCCCTAGGACCCATAGGACCCACTAGGGAGCCAAATTGTATCTCTGCCCATCCAGAACACACACACACACCCCAGCCCTAGGCTGGGCTGTGTTTTGTGCCTTGAACCTCCAGGTCCCAGCATCCCCACACAGACCTGAAGCTGACCTCTGATCGAGGCCCAGGGGATCTATCACCTTTCACCATGAGTCCACCAGAGCCTCCCCATCTTCCCCTTCCCCTGGAGATGCCTTCCCAGCCCCCACCCATGCCACCCATCTCCCTAAGATACCCCAACATGCCTGTCCATTGTTCTGGAGTGGACAGGTGGGCCGCAGCTGGACCCCCGGACGGTGGTGCACTGATGCAGGCCATGCACGCTGCCTTGGCCAGGCCTGGGGAGGGCAGGCGCCGTGGCCGACCTGGGGTGGGGTGCATGCCAGCTGAGGGAGCAAGCGGCCTGCTGCCCCCTCTACACCTCTATCCTGGAATCTCAACACCCGCCCGAGGACATCTGTTCCCTCAATTCATCCTCAAATAAGCCAGGGATGACCTTCAAACTTGTTTCCACCTTCCCATCCACCCTGGCCTCTCCTCTTTCTGCCTTGCTATTCCAACCTCTGCCCTCTGTCTGCTTCCAACCCTTCTCAGCCTGTAGTGACAATATACTGAGCCTCTGGCTCAGTATAAAGTCACTGTGGCTCCCTAAGGCACCTTGTACAATTCAAAATGGCACATTTTCCACAGAACACATTGCTGGGATACTGTAGTAATTCTAATCCACTTGTGTAGTGAGAAGACACTATCCAAACAAAAACTGTCATTAAATACACAAATCTGGTATCTGAGCTCCAGAGGGAACCTTTGTGCAGTTGTACAACCTGCACATCTGTGCACAGCACCCTAGACTATTCCTTTATGTTCTCCCTCCCTGCACTGCCCCACCCCACTTCCTACGCTACTCTCGGTTTACTATCTCCCTACTGAGTCTCCTGCTCCGTGAATTCCCTAGTGAACAGGGTTTGCCCTTAACACTCCTATGCCTAATACCTCTTCAGAGCCCAACCCCACCCCCACCCCAGCCACCTAGCAGAGCAGAGCCCCTGCCTAGGAAACAATATTTTCTTCCCTGGGCCCCAGGACCACCCTCACTTTTCTCCTTGCTACTGCACAGACAGCCATGATCTGGCCACCACCTAGACTGTCACTTCCCACGGAGCTATGAATGAGTCTCGAGATTCCGTCTGCATGCACCCATCTGTGCCTCTTTGTGTTGGCCGCTGCATGTCCACCAAGGGCCTGTCCTGGGGGCCATGTGCCTGCTGCTTCTGAGGGTGGAAATGCTACGGCAGGGTGTTCATGGGCTGCCCGCAGGGCGAGCTGGGGGTGGGGAGGGGAGCAGCAGCGGGCCCCACCACAGGGCTGCTGCACATGTGCTACTGACATCTGCCTTCTGTACCCTCTCTTTGGGTGGAAATGCAAAGGAGCCTTGGATAAGAACTCTGGGGCGGGGCATGGGTCTGGGGCAACCCTAGGAATGCTGGACCTGAGGTTCAGCAGTGGAGATCAAAACAAAACAAAAAAAACAGCACCCAGGGTGGTGGTGGGCCCTGTCATCCCAGCTACTCAAGAAGCTGAGGCAGGCAGATTGCCATGAGTTCAAGGCCAGCCTGGCCTATATAGCAAGACCTTGTCTCCAAAAAAATTAAAAGAAAACAAATGATGATTCGGGCTTTGTATGCAGAAAGTCCAGGGTCTCCTTCCTGCTCCACACAGAGAAATGGGGAATTCCAGCTAGCAGGTAACCACAGGGTGCTGCCCTCCCCACTTCAGAGTTCTTCCTAGGGCTCCCTGCATAGGGAGGGTTTGACTCTTAGCATCCAGGCAGGGCCTGAGAATGACTGCTCTCACCCGGGGTTTTCTGTAGCGGCTCCTGAGGATGGACCTGCCTGTGGCCGATGACAACACCGTCCACTTCAACTCTACACTCATGGCTCTGATTCGAACTGCCCTGGATATCAAGATTGCCAAGGGTAAGCAACTGCAAGAGATGAGTCACAGAGAGCAGGTCCTTGGAGGGGAAACCGGAACAGCTAGGAACCGCCCCCCACATGCAGTCTGACCACAGTCCCTGTCTCAACCTTGGTTCTGTATTTGTACATCCAGTAAGTACTTAATGCACACCTGAGGTATGCCAGACACCCCTCCAACAAAAGGGGTGCAGCAGCTTACACCTGCAGTGGAGGAGGCCTCTCCTCTGACTTCCACATGTGCACTGTGGCACGCACACACACACACAAATGTAATGTTTTTAAACCCCAGAGAGGGCTCAGGAGACCTTGTAATCTGTTTTCAGGCCAATTTTCCCAGAGAGCACAGGGGCTATTGGGGTCCCCTCCAGCCTCCAAACTTTTTCTTTGAAACAATTTTGTTTCTCTTAGAGATTGCTAGAACAGAGAGAACAGAGAGCAGGGAGAGAGGCCACGAGGGTAGAGGGAAGTTGGGCTCCTTGGAGGCCGCCTTCCGTCTGACACACCGCCAGTCTTTTCTTGTCTGTCTCTTACTCTCTAACATCTCTCTTTAAATGTTGATATAATCTCTAAAGCTGCATTTCTTATAAATTAACAGCTCCATCATTTCTTCTTTTTGATGCCTTTAAACTCAGTTGAAGAAGGCCGACCGTTTCTTACCTTCGGTTCTGTTGCCTGACACCAAAAAATTAGGAATATTAAAAATTCCTATTTTTCCAAAGGCTTACAAGTTGAAATACCTAAAATCAGCTAGAATTTTGCGGGCGTGGTGACACACGCCTTTAATCCCAGCACTCGGGAGGCAGAGGCAGGTGGATCTCTGTGAGTTCAAGGCCAACCTGGTCTACATAGTGAGTTCCAGGACAGCTGGGGCTACAGGGAGACCCTGTCTCAAAAAAGACAAAAAAAAAAAAAAAGAAAAAAAAAGAAAGAACTAGAATACCTAGTGATGGTCTGTTCTCAAACATTTCCTCCTCCTTTGAATTTCTGTTTTCCATTTCTCATTTTAGTGTCTTTTTTGTTTGCTTTTGAAACAGACCCTCATCAGACTGACCTTGAACTTGCTATGTAGCTGAAAATGATCCTTGAACTTTTGATCTTCCTGCCTCTACCTCCCCAGTACAAATGTATACCACCACACCTTGTTTATACAGTGCTGGAGGTGGAACCTAAGGACGGTTCATAGCCGCCATGTGGGTGCTGGGAATCGAACCCAGGTCCTCTGCAAGAGCAGTCAGTGTGCTTACCCGCTGAGCCATCTCCAGCCCTACAACAAGCACTCTTAACTGCTGAACCATCTGCAGTCCCACCCCCTTTTTTTGTCTTCTGACACTTGCACCCTTTTATACTAACTGATAGGATAAGAGCTCTGTGCTGGTTGTGGGAGTAGTGCACTGTCTCTCTCTGCATCCGGTACAATGTCTTGGATTTGTCCTGCATGCCCACAGGAAGGTGAAGTAATTAAGACATTGTGAGACCACATCTTCTCCCTTCCAGCCCAGGAATACAGTTTCTTGTCTCCACCTCTCTATGAGGCCATTGGGTGTCCTGGGGAGTTCCCCTATACCTTCACCCTAGAGGGAACACGTGGCTCTTTGCTGCAGTATCTTCATGACCAGAGGGTTCCTAAACTCAAAGGGACACTAAGAAAAAAAAGGTTAGGGGGACAGGCCAAGTGATGGCAAAGGATTTATAGATACTGAGATAGAGGCTTTGAAAACTGCTCGCACACAAGCTAGAGGTAACTTAGCTCCTTTCCCTGTTGCTGTTGGGAGTAACCTTAACAGAAGGAACTGAGAGAGAAAGGTTTGCCTTGTTCACAGTTCCAAAGGGATAGTCCATCCTGGCAAGGAAGGCACTGTCAGGAACTGGAGACTGGCTGGTCACATTGTTGCTGCACTTAGGAAGTAGAACAAGAACAGGAGGTGGACCTGGCTATAAAACCTCTCGGCCTGAGACTAGCAACCCACTTCTTCCAGTGAGACTCCAACTCCTAAACATTCCGTAACTTCTCCAAACTGCTCTGTAGCCCTTAGAGATGGGTTACAGGCGGTTGTGAGCTCCAGATGTGGATGCTTGAAACTGAATTTCTGTTCCCTGCATGAGCAGCGAGCGCACTTAACTGCTGAGCCAACTCTGACAGCTTAGACAGAGGGGCATGGAGTGTTCAGACTCTGGGTGCCTCCCAGGTGGATGTGGACTATGAAAGAAAGATAGGAGCCAGAGATACCCCCAGATTCAGAGCCTGAGCTACTGCAGATGGAACAGCTCTATTCTGAGTCAGGCAAGGGGCAGGAGGGGTGGTTTGGAGACCAGGGCATAGGTGGCAAGCAAGGGGCAGGGAAAGGGAACAGGTACTAGAGGCCAGCACTTCAAACTCCCTAAGGCGATAAGCTTAAGATGAGAGACTCCCTGGTGGCCCATACCTATGATCCCAGCCCCTTGTGAGGCTGAAGCAAGAGGATCACAAGTTCAAGAACAGCCTAGGCTGCAGAGTAAGTTCAAAGCCAGTATGGGCAGTTTAGAGAGACCCTGTCTTAAAATAAAAAGGCCTGGGTTAGAGTTCAGCAATAGAGAGCTTGCCTAGCATGTTTCAAGCTTGGGGTTCCATCCCTCAAATGGAAAAAAGTAAGCGATTCCCCCCACAACACCAAGGCCACAACTCCCTAACATTTCAGAGGACCAAGAAAAGGTAGCCGGGAGATGGCCCAGAGACTCTGGGGCACAGTGAACTCCTTCAAAGCAAAGAGAGTAGCCAGCCAGGATTCTGGCAGACACCTATGGTCCCAGTGCTTGTGAGGCTGAGGCAGGAGGATCATGGATTCAAGGCTAGCATGGGCTAGAGAGAGAAACCATGTCTTAGGAAGAGAGACAGAGACAGAGACTGGGAATGGAACAGTAGCAGGTGAGAGGCAAGAAAACAGAAGAGCCCAGCCTTTGTCTGGTAGCTGCTGGATGTTTTTTACTCACAGCAAATTTTGCTTGCTAGACAGCTGACTATACATCACTCAAGGCCCAGGTTCTACCTATGTCCTGTAGACTCAAGTTGCCTACCTGCCCTGTCATTGTTCATAGCCTTGACCTCAACCTCTGCGAACCTCAGTTTTTCTGTATCAGCCATCTATGCCACATGACAGATACTATAAAGTTCATGACTTAAAACACACGCAGGGGGACTGGAGAGATAGCTCAGTGGTTTAGAGCTCTTGCAAAGGACCCAGGTTTGATTCCCAGCACCCACATGGAGGCTAAACAACTGTCTATAACTCCAGTTCCAGGGAATCCAACACCCTCTTCTGACCTCCACAGGCATTGGACAACACAGCTGCACCTACCTACATGCAGGCATTACAGTCATACACATAAAATAGATATTTAAAAAAAAAAATGCAGGCCGGGCGTGGTGGTGCACGCCTGTAGTCCCAACACTCAGGAGGCAGAGGCAGGCGGATCTCTATGAGTTCAAGGCCAGTCTGGTCTATGTAGTGAGTTCCAGGCCAGCTGGGGCTATAGGGAGACCCTGTTTCAAAAAAACACATGCAGTTGGGGCTGGACAGATAGCTCAGCAGTTAAGAGCACTGACTGGTCATGGGGCTGGAGAGACAGCTCAGCAGTTAAGAGCAGCACTAACTGCTCTTGCAGAGGACCCGGGTTCGATTCCCAGCACCCACATGGCAGCTACAAACCGTCCTTAACTCCAGTTCGAGGGGAATCCGAAGCCTCTTCTGACCACCACGGCATTGCATGACATGGGTACACTCCCGTACATGCCGGCAATACACTCATACACATAAAATAAAAATAATAAGTAAAATATTTTTTTTAAAAAGAGCATTGACCCTTGCAGACGACCTAGGTTTGGTTCCCAGCACCCACATGGTGGCAACGAACCGTCCTTAACTCATACACATAAAATAAAAATAAGCTGAGCGTGGTGGTGCATGCCTGTAATCCCAGCATTCAGGAGGCAGTGGCAGGTGGATCTCTCTGAGTTTGAGGCCACCCTGGTCTACAAAGTGAGTTCCAGGCCAGCCGGGGCTACAGGGAGACCCTTTCTCAAAAAGACACACACACAAATAATAATAATAATAATAATAAATAAAATATTAAAAAAGAGTGCATGCTGTGAAAGCATGAGGACCTGAGTTTGAATCCCCAACATCCACATTTTTTAAAAAAAATGGGCTCTGCAGGGAACGGTGACACACACCTTTAGACCCAGCACTCAAGAGGCAGAGGCAGGCAGATCTCTGTAGTTCAAGGCCAGCCTGGTCTACATAGTGAGTTACAAGCCAGCCAGGGGTACATAATGAGACCCTGTCTCATAAAAACAAAACAGTGGGCTGGAGAGATGGCTCAGAGGTTAAGAATACTGGCTGCTCTTTACAGAGAACTAAGTTAAGTTCCCAGCACCCACATGGTGGCCAGCAACCATCTGTAACTCCAGTTCCATGGTCATTGTATGATATACATGCAGGCAAAATCACTCATATACATAAAATAAAAATAACTGGAAAATGTTTTTGAATTTTTTTTTCATTTTATGTGTATGAATGTATTGCCTGCATGTATGTAAGTACACCCATGTCATGCAATGCCCATGGAAGTCAAAAGAGGGCGTCGGATTCCCCTGGAACTGGAGATACAGATGGTTGTTAGCCACCATGTGGGTGCTGGGAATCAAATCCAGGTCCTCTGCAAGAGCAGCCAGTGCTCTTAACAGCTGAGCTGTGTCTCCAGCCCTTAAAACAATTTTTTAAAGGTCATTGCTTCACATGCCATCAACCTCTACTTTAGGGGACAGAGACAGGAAGACCCTGAGAGCAGCCTCAACAAAATGGTCAGCTTCAGGTTCAGTGAGAGGGCCTGTGTCAAGGGATAAAGCAGAGAACAGTGAAGAAAGACACCTGGGATCCTGCTCCAGCCTCCATATTTGTGCACCAGAACACTCACTGGCAAGCAGCACATGTGAGACATTCACTTAGGGCCAGCGCATTAGCTCT